GAAAACCACCCTAAACCCTAAACCCTAAACCCTGAACCCTGAACCCTGAACCCTAAACCCTAAACCCTAAACTTTTCAACCCTACAACCTAACTGCCACCCAAAATGGTCTAGTGCGAGCTACGTACGTCATACGTCACTCTTGCGTGCCACCTAAGGGCATGTTGTACTAGGCCCTAGAGTAACCTACTTAAAGGATCAGGGGACTTAGTAAGTAGAGTCATATTTAGGGCAACCATAGTTACAATTACTTATAACCCCAATTCGGGTACTTACAAACCTACTTCCTAAGCCCCATCATCCTCCGACTAGGAATTAAATGAGTGCCCATTTTGGGTGAAAGGGGGCATATGAGGGAACCTAAACCCAAAACCCTAGACCCTAAACCCCAAACCCTAAACCCATAACCCCCCAAACCTTGAGAAAACAGAATAAGGACGAGTAGCCTAGGAAAAAACCGGGCACCTTTTTGGTTTTCAGGGGATTATAAGCGAAGCCCAACCCCTAAAAAAAGGAAATAAGGGCCTACTCCGGGTCCTAGTTACCCTAAACCCTAAACCCTAAACCCTAAATCCTAAACCCTAAACCCTAAACCCTAAACCCTAAACCAAAGGATGATCGGGGGAAGGGGCGGCCTTGTAGATCCGGCGGTGGCAGACTTCTATGACCTTCACGCGATCGGCGGAAATGCGCAGTTAGAACCCCCACCGAAGACTGCAAGAGGCTCCTAGGTTCGGGTTTGGGGTTTAGGGCTTAGGGCTTAGGGTCAGGGTTTAGGGCTTAGGGTTTAGGGTTCAAGGTTATAGGGTTTGGGGTTTGGGGTTTAGGGTTTCGGGTTTAGGGTTTCGGGTTCAGGGTTTAGGGCTTCATCGGAGTGGACCTGCCTCGTGGTCAGAGCAGCAAGAAGACGCAATAGATGTGCGAAGAACCGACTGAGCAGCCACATCTGTCTAAACCCTGAGCCCTGAGCCCTAAGCCCTAAGCCCTAAGCCCTAAGCCCTAAACCCTAAGCCCTAAGCCCTAAGCCCTAAACCCTAAACTGAACTCAACATGCCAAGACACTCTAACCCTTCCGTGGACCTGCTATTGTCTTTGCGGCGGTGCAACCGTACCCATTGCCAAAAAAACCTTTAAGGCTTCAGGGCATTCAGGGCTTAGGGCTGGGTGTAGGGTTTAGGGTTTAGGGTTTAGGGTTTCGGGTTTCGGGTTTGGTCGGTTTTGCTCCTCTATACAACATGCTGCACCAGGAGGTTTGATGTTTCTGGAACAAGACCCGCTGTCACAAGCCTTTTGCAAGCATGCCCGCAACACTGGGATGTTCAGCGTGTTTGGCTTTTCGACATATTGCAAGAGTCTGATTGATGCTTCTGCAACCAGAAGAGCTTTCACAGGTGTTCATGCACAAGTGTTCATGCCTTTGCGAACATGCCGCAAACGCTGCTGTTTACAGCGTTTGTTCCTCAGACTTGCTTGTCAAGACCGGCAAGGCCGCTGCAAAGCTTTGACCCCGACAGCAGAAGACGCACACAAAGTATGGTCCGAATGCATTGCGCTGCACCTCCAACCAACAAAACCACAGCATGACAATTCTGCAAAAACCCATGGGTTCGCGACGGTACTCGCAAAAATTGGCCTTGTTTGTAATCAGGCAAAAACACGCATTTCACCTAGGCGAAACGCGTACTTTCCCAAGAATGTTAGGATATGGTGTCAACGGTGGTGTGACATTGATGGGCCCAAGGCAGAGTGGCGCAGATTGCTCCGCCATTTCGAGACCCCCATGAACCGCGACTTTCCCCATACGAACCCTGTATGTTTTTGTGGACCTGTCTGGACTTCCAGTGAACCCTAAACCCTAATTAAACCCCAAACCCCAAACCCTACACCCTAAACCCTAAACCCTAAACCGTAGACCGTAGACCGTACACCCTAAACCGTAGACCGTAAACCCTAAACCCAAAACCCTAAACCCTAAACCCCCTCTGCACGCCCTCTCCGGGTCGCGTAGAGCGCGGAAATCTGGGAATATTCCCCACATTGGAATCGGAGTACCAATATAACTTTGCTTGATATCCCAGTAACCATTTATAATAAGGGTACACTTTTTTGGGTTGGTTACTTTTGAAGGGGACCTTGAACCGAAAAAAAGGGTAAAGGGGCACCACTGGGCTGCCAAAGTTTATAAGGTTCATTACCTAAATACAACCCTAAGGATCCATGTACCTATATAGTACATACTTGGGCCTTAAAGGGGTTCCTAGATAGTAGCTTTAGGGCACAAGTATATACTATATAGGTACATGGATCCTTAGGGCAAGCGATGCTGGGTAGTGGCATGTAACTACGAGTTCGTACGTCGTGCCCTTGATAGCTAGATTTTTTCTTTGTGCGGGGAGGGGAGGTTCTTCATAGTATTCTTATATATCGGGGCTGTAAGGGAATACTACCAGTCCTTCCGACCCCTATACCCTATACCCTAAACCCTAAAACCGAAACCCGATACCCTAAATCCTAAACCCGAAACCCTAGCCCTAAACCCTAAACCCTAAACCCTAAACCCTAAACCCTAAACCCAGAAGCACAAGCCTGCTGGTACATCATCAGGCGCTGCTCCGTGAGAACGCAGCCGTGGCCCAGTCCGCCCTGTGTCGGTCAGGGCTTGGCATGCTCGACTCTTATCCTAGGGGTCGCCTAAACCCTAAACCCTAAACCCTAAACCCTAAACCCTAAACCCTAAACCCTAAACCCTAAACCCTAAACCCCAAACCATGTACCTTCTTGTCATATACTTGCGTCCCAAAGTCCCCATACAGGCAGTAATTTAAGGCCCAAGTATTCCCTAGTCAGGTACATGGACCCTTAGGGTTGGGGTTTCGTGACGAGGTTTAGGGTTTAGCGTTTAGGGACATACATACCTGAATGATTGAGACATCATTTTGAGTCTCTAATGTCAGATGGGTCTCTGTAGGTGTGATTCATTCACACGGACGCAGCTGAACGAATTCTCCGGTGAACCACCATTGGATCCCGACGGTAGGTGAAGTGGTAAATCATAAGCTCTGAGCCTAAACCCTAAGTAAGTCTTACACCCTAATTAAACTGAAACCCGAGCTCTAAGCACCCCCAAAGCCCTAAGCCCGACAACCCCGACAACCCGAACACCCAAAAGCTCTAGGCTCAAACCTCCTGAAAGTCCAGACCACACAACTCGAGTCGTTGAAGCCTATACAACCCTCCCCCCCCCCCCCCCCCCCCAAATTCCCAAATTCTACAGCCCTACCCCAGAATCTCCCCAAAACGGGACATGATTAAGGCAGCTTCCGTTCTCTTCGGGCCCAAACAACCCAATACCCTTTAAAGGACTTCATGTATCATTATTGTAATGCAGGAGGTACGTGGTACCTAGACCGACGTTGTCCCAGTGTACTCCTAATTATTTTACTTCGAACATCCCCACCTTCAGGGAGTCTCCGGGGTTGGGCACTCCAGAAATCTCTGGGGTTGGGCACTCCAGGGAGTCTCTGGCGTTGGACTCCAAGGAGTCTCGGGGTTGGGCACTCCAGGGAGTCTCTGGCGTTTGCAGGGAGTCTCTGGGGTTGGGCACTCCAGGGAGTTTCTGATTTGGGCACTCCAGAAATTTTTCGGGTTGGGCGGTTGGGCACTCCAAGGGAGTCTCTGGGGTTGGGCAGTCCAGGGAGTGTCTGGGGTTGGGCAATTCAGGGAGTCTCTGAGTAGACAGGGCGAGGAGAAGAGTTCCGGACGAGGAGAAGAGTTGAGATTAAAATCTAACAACCCCACACCGAAGGTGGGGAAAAACACCATTTAGGGTTTAGGTTTTTTTACGACTCATTCCTTGTCCATTGAAGTCTCATCTGCTTGTGGCAACCGCTGAGCAGGTGCTCAAACCCATGCCAGAACTCCAAGCATCAAGACGATTCTAGCAAGCAGCGCTCCACCGAGCAAAACCGACACTAAGGGTCGCGGACGGAAGACGCAGCAAGGCCCGTCAACCGCCCCCCCCCTACTACGCCGGGTCCTCCCGAGCGCAGCTCCGTGCTTCCAGGAAGGTGCGGAAATCCTTTGCCTCCAGCATCGCCCCTTCCAACGTGCACAGTCATGGACAGACATTTACACAGGGTCGTGGGCCCGTGTCGTACTGTACGAGCGGGCGTCCACATCTACCCAGTACACCCCCAGTACACCGGGTCTCCCCCAGCGCAGCTCCATGCTGCTTCCAAGCATCATGTCTCCGCAGCTTCAGCGCGGCGGCGCAGGGCCGCCCGCGCCCGATGGGCACGGATCAGAACGCACAGCTCCTGCATGAGGGCGGAATGTGCACGCTGGGGCTCCTCGCCAGTCCGCGCAGCCACAGCCCGCGCAATGTGCTGGAGGACGATGCCCGCACCTTTGTCCCATGTGCCTGTGGATTCCACCACCATCGGCACAAACACCACGCCCTGGCCCTCACAGGCCTGCGCAGTGCCCAAGTGCGCCTCCTTGTGGCGGGCGTAGGCAGCAGCCGCCGCGCCTGTCTCCCTGCCTGCCAGTGCTAGGGTCTCCTGCCGCTGAGGCGCTGTAACAGCGAAGCCAAGCGCAGCGGGAGACCCAGCAAGGGCAGGCAGAAAGACATCGGCAGGGCGACGTCTGCCTGTCTGCGTGTCTTCAGGGCAAGTGGGCAGCAGAAGGTTCGGGCGCTCCTTCTCCGGCCGAAGGCCAGCCCGCGCAGCCCAGGAACACACAAGGTCACGGACAGCGTTGTGTCTCAGAGTCCGTTCGCCGCCAGCCACACACATGCCAGCGTGGTAGCCCCAGCAGTCCAAGACCCCATCGCAGCGAGGACACCAGCAATCATCAGTGGCTTCGGGCACCCCCAGGCGGATTCGCAACTCGGCAATGAAGGCGGCAGGCTCCATGCGCGTGCGTCCTGAGGGCATGGCGTTGAGGAAGGCGCGCGCCCCCAACCCCGCTTCAGAGTGAAGGGCAGCCCGAGCGACGTGGCTGCTAGTGTTCAAGCTGGGCAGCGAAGCAGGTGGAGTCCAAAAGCTGAGACAGGTCGCGTTGCTTGCTTTGCAAAGCAGCAGCAAGCGTAGCAACCCGACTGCCCACGGCGTTCTGGAACAGGTGGAAAGCCCCGACCACATGGTTCGAGGTTTGAACGGCCTCCTTTGAGAAGTTGGGGTCGAGGTCACTGCAGTGTTCCAGGGAGGCCCCCACCGAGGCCAAGTAGGCAGCAGGCGCATGGGCAGAGCAAGAGCGCAGCCCAAGCCCCGCGTGCGCGAGCCCTCGAGAGGCTTGCAACCACTGCTCAGCAGTAACATGGATGCCAGTGAGACCACCGAGGCACCGCCGCACCAGCCCATCAAAGTGGGCCAAAGCTGCAGCCTGAGCTGCAGGCGGGTTACAGCGCATGCTGTGAACCATGCGGCAGAAGCCGGCGCACGCCCGCAGCAAGCGTAGTCCCACCTGGGGGTCCTCAAGCTCGGCCAGCGCCTCCAGCAATTCACCCGCTTTTTCTGCCCGCGCCAGGGTGTGTGTCTGGATGAAGTCATCGTCCCCAATAGCGGCCCCCAGGAACTCGAAGTTCCTGAGCACTCTCCCAGAACCATCAGCATGGAGCAGCAGGGCAGCCGGGAAACTTGCGCGCATGGTGCCCTCATCAATAGGTCCCAAAGCCACAACTTCGCACTTACGCAGGTTGAGTTGCAGTCCAATTGCGGAGGCCTGCTGCTGGACCAGGGTCAGAGCAGCACTGACCGCGGCAATGTCACAGGGTTTAGGGTTTAGGGTTCAGAAATTCAAAAATCCACTTGGAGGTTCATGGGTAGCTATAAGTAGGGCACGTGTAGGGTGATTCGTACGGTAAGTTATCACTTTACTTCAGGTACTTCCAACCCTACCTATAACTACCCGTGAACCTTCAAGTAGAGTGCCTACGTACTGTTTGCTTAAGAACCCCCCGGCAAAAAGGACAAAAAACTTCCCTACAAGGGCAATAAGGGGACTATTATAATTTTGCATTTCTTTTTGGGGGGGGAGCTCTTACCCACAGGCTCCTGTGTAGTACCATTTTTGGGTAGTATACTAGAATCCCCAATATCTACCCCCAAAAAAGGAACTACCGTTAGGGCCTTCAGGTACGTAAATAATAGCCTAGGATGGCCATTAAGACCCTCAGAAACCAAGGGCCTACCGAGCACACCCTAAGCCCTAAACCCTAAACCCTTTAAAACCTAAGCCCTAAACCCTAAACCCTAACCCCTAAACCCCTAAACCCTTTAAACCCTAAACCCTTTAAACCCTTTAAACCCTTTAAACCCTTTAAACCCAAAACCCAAAACCCAAAACCCTAAACCCTAAACCCTAAACCCTAAACCAAACATCCGGCCTTCCGCTTTCGGGCGCGGCGAAGCAGCTGGCCGAAGTTCGGATGTTCCACCAGCATCCAAGCCTAAAGGTTCTGGGGGTTTGGGGTTTAGGGTTTAGGGTTTGGGGTTTGGGGTTGAGGGTTTAGGGTTTAGGGTTTAGAGTTTAGGGTTTGGGGTGTAGGGATTAGAGTTTAGGAATTTGGGGCGGGTCTACTTGTAAGTAACCTAAAAGCTCCAAAAATCGTACTATCCCGGGTTCTCCCACAATCATGCAGAAAGAAAGCTCCAGAGTCATGAGCCGGATATGTCCCCCAAGATATGGACACCCTGCAGAGGCCAGCTCTTCATGTAACCTGGGCCCCATGGCCTCAGAATACTAAGCACTAAGCCGCAAACCCTAAACCCTAACCCTAAACCCTAAACCCTAAACCCTAAGCCCATTTGTACGTGCGCGCCTCCGAATCTGGCATCAGCACAGAGCTGGAGGAGCGACTTCTCCCGGTTTCCGACACCTGCATCTGGGAGCCTATAGTAGGCTATGTAGGGTTTAGGGTTTAGGGTTTAGGGTTTAGGGCTTCAGGGCATCTGGCTCGAAGAATATGGTGTTGGACTACTGTACTCATTTGCGCAACCTATCGTTCTTGACATCGGCGTTGACGGTGCTGGACCTAGCAAAGCTTTGCGAATGTACCCTAAACCCTAAAACCTAAACCCTAAACCCTAAACCCTCCCCTGCTGTCCCGAACTGCCAAACCTTGTGACGGCGGAGTCCGTTCATCGCCTTGGAGAGAGGTCAAGCCCTAAACCCTAAACCCTAAACCCTAAACCCTAAACCCTAAACCCTAAACCCTAGTCACCCTGACACCCCCCAAACAAGGCCCAGAATGGCCCGAACGATTTAGATCCAACGCAGGGTTTAGGGTTTAGGGTTTAAGGTTTAGGGTTTAGGGTTTAGGGTATAGGGTTTAGGGTTAGGGTTTAGGGTTTAGGGTTTAGGGTTTAGGGTTTAGGGTTTAGGGTTTAGGGTTTAGGGTTTAGGGTTTAGGGTTTAGGGTTTAGGGTTAGGTTTAGGGTTTAGGGTTTAGGGTTTAGGGTTTAGGGTTTAGGGTTTAGGGTTTAGGGTTTAGGGTTTAGGGTTTAGGGTTTAGGGTTTAGGGTTTAGGGCTTAGGGCTTTGGGTTTAGGATTTAGGGTTTAGGGTTTAGGGTGTAGGGTTTAAAAAATCCTTTCCCAAAGAAGACCAAATGCCTCTCTTGACTAAGGAATATACCGGAAATCATAGTAAGGATTTCTATATCAATTCAAGTCAATTCAAGTATATCCCTTAATTAAGGGGTCTTGTGCCCTTTGGGTTGTTCATGTTACGCATGGGGCCCGCTTCATGCGGGCCTGGGTTCTTTTGGGTGTACTTTTCTTAGCGAGGGAATTCGGGAATGAGGTACCTTCTCTCACCCCTAGCACGCCTACAGTAGATTCCCTAAAGCCCCCCAATGTACCTAAATAGGGAATACTTGGGCCTGAAGGTACTGCCTATATAGGGACTTTGGGGCCCCAAGTATATAACAACAAGGTACATGGACCCTTCATGGACCAGCAGGGTTCAGGGTTTTGGGTCTAGAAGTACCCATGCAAAGAAGTGTCCCTAAACCCTAAACCCTAAACCCTAAACCCTAAACCCTACACCCTACACCCTACACCCTAAACCCTAAACCCATCCGCAGCTGAGGAGCGGCAATCGGAGGGTCGCCCCCACCTTCCCGCTTCTTGAAGCGGACGTCGGAGTCCTCTTAACTGCACTTCAAAAAAGTCTACTTGGAGGTTCATTGGTAGATATAAGTAAGGCTAAAGGTACCCCATATAGGGTTATAAGTATAGCTACCATAATTATATCCCCTACTTATATCTACCCATGAACCTCCAAGTAGGGCACACGAAAAAAGGGTTCTGGCCCACGGTTTACGGCTTCCAGCAAGAGGGGAGACTAAACAACAGTGCCAAGGCTGAAGAGATGGCGGCTGCTGTACAAGTAGCAGACTGAGCTTGGTTAGGGGTAGGGCTTGGGGTTGGGGGTTTGGGGTTTAGGGTTTCGGGTGTAGGTCCTGAGTGAGCTCCACCCAGTTGCCTTTGCGACGTCGCACTCCGACCACATCACCCTGGCCAGCTGGCGCTGCATTGGAGGTTCATGGGTAGGGGGGGGGGGGGGGTTGCCGGTCTAGACATGGGAGGAACCAAGGGAAGAAAAAAAGGGCCTACTCCCGGTTGTAGAGGTGGAGAGCTTCAATACGTTTGTCACGAGTTGTGAATGGCAGCAGCATTCGAAGAATATTGGCTGCTGGCCATGACCCACATGCTCTAGTCAGGACAGTTTCTCGTGAATCTATGTTCTATGTCTGTTCAGCACCCCTAAACCCAAAACCCTAAACCCTGAACCCTAAACCCTCAACCCTAAACCCTAAACCCTGAAACCCAGCAGCTCCACCTGAAGATCTTGCTAAAAATGATAGCCCGCCATGAGCCTAGCAGCTTAGCACCCCAAACCCTGAGAACCCCACTATGGACGGGGGGGGGGGATATTTTCCGGTAGTTTACACGATAGAGATTTCCCTAAACCCTAAACCCTTAACCCAAAACCATAAACTTTAAACCCTAAGCCCTAAATCCTAAACCCTAAACCCTACTGAGGGGATAGCATTGGTGTCTTTTTTGGGCTCCTGCATCAGGCCTTACAGGCCTGTTGAGCTTAAGCCCCAGCACCCCGTCTAACCCCTAAACCCTAACCATTGAAACATTAAACATTAAGCCCTAAACCCTATAAACCCTAAACCCTAAACCCTAAACCCTAAACCCCAAACCGCATGCCCCGGCCTTGATCATGATGCCCACGGGCCGCTCCGTGGTGGAGGGGCCGCGTCGAACTACCACCTCGTGGGTTTCAGGTAAGGTTTAGGGTTTAGGGTTTAGGGTTTAGGGTTTAGGGTTTAGGGTTTAGGGTTTAGGGTTTAGGGTTTAGGGTTTAGGGTTTAGGGTTTAGGGTTTAGGGTTTAGGGTTGAGGGTTTAGGGTTCAGGGTTTAGGGTTTAGGGTTGAGGGTCTAGGGTGTAGGGTGTAGGGTGTTGGGGTTTTAGCGCCTTGTAGGGTTTTAATGGTGGTTTATATGGGTTTAGGATTGAGGGTTGACAGTGGGTGGGTTTCTAGGGTTTGGGTTTCAGGATTCAGCTCAAGGGTTTCACAGTGATACGGGTCGATAGGGGGTTTAGGGTTTAGGGTTTAGGGTTTAGGTTTTAGGGTTTAGGGTTTAGTTTATAGGTGTTTATAGGGCCGAGGGCTTACAGGGTTCAGGGTTTAGGGGGGGGGGTTCAGAGTTGAGGGGATTCAGGATACAGGAGCTGGTTGCTTGTTTTTTGGGATCTCGAGCCATTATGAGCCTTAAACCCTAAACTCTATAGAGCCTAAACTTGATGAGGGCTTGGGACAAAACCTATACCCTAAACCCTAAACCCTAAACCCTAAACCCTAAACCCTAAACCCTAAACCCTAAACCCTAAACCCTAAACCCTTCCAGGGATTGGGGATCATGGCTGGATTCCAGAACAGATGCGACCAAAATGTACCGGCGCCATGTCTAGGCCCCAGAGTAACCCTCGGAATCAAGAGGGGTGGCCTTTTTGGGTTAAAGAGGTTCAGAAGGGAACCTACACCCTAAAAAGAGGAATAAGGGCCTACTCTGGGTCCTAGGGGTTTCTAAAGGAACCTAAACCCTCAAAAAAAGGAATAAGGGCCTTCTCTGGGCCCTCGAGGTTTGGGGCTTAGGGTTGGGGTTTCGGGTTCAGGGTTTAGGGCTGGTTTTGGGGCTCACCCGGATGATGGCCGAAAGCTGCGTAGCCCAAAGACTCGATCCTGAAAAGCACAGGCGTATATCCCCAAATAGGGCTACACCGTTTATACCCCTTCAATAGAAAAGAAACCCCTTAAAGGGACCCCCCAAAAAGGGTACCCCCATTTTCGGAAATCCCCACATTGTTTCTACGGAATACGTGCTGCAAGGAACGCAGAGACCAACAACGGACAAAAAGGGCACCACTGGGCCACTGGGAATCATACATCCTAAACCCTGAACCGCACAAACCCTAGACCCAAGACCCCCAAACCACTGAACCCAAAAGAGCCTGAACACCAAACAGCCCCTAATCCTCACCCCGAAAACCCTAAACACCAAGAACCCCAAATCCCAAAAACCCTGAACACCAAAAGCCCGAACCCGAACCCTAACCCCGAAAACCCTAAACCCCAAAAAACAACCTGAACCCCAGAATCCCAAAACCCACAAGAAACGTTCAGCCCTTAACCCCTAAACCCGCAAAGCCCTGCACACTGATCGGCAACCTTAACCCCAAACCCTAAACCTGAAACCCCAAGCTCTAACATCCTTACATAAACGGAGCCTAGTGGGAACCCCAAACAGGGAACCCGAAAAACATAGTAGGAATGGAATGGGAACATAAGGACCCTGGTAGGTTATTCCGATTATATTCCTAAACCCTAAACTCTAAACCCTAAACCCTAAACCCTAAACCCTAAACCCTAAACCCTAAACCCTAAACCCTAAACCCTAAACCCCTAACTCCTGTCCGGGGCTCCCATTCAAGTCCCTTTCTAACAGTCTTTGACTATTACCCTAAACCCTAAACCCTAAACCCTAAACCCTAAACCCTAAACCCTAAACCCTAAACCCTAAACCCTAAACCCTAAACGCTAAACCCTAAACCCTAAACCCTGGCCTGATCGTGCTCCACCACCCAGGGCTCCCCATAGGAGGAGAGCTCCTGAGATCTTCGGAGCTGGAAGGTTTAAGGTTTCGGGTTTAAGAACCAGCCAGGGTTTAGGGTTTAGGGTTTAGGGTTTAGGGTTTAGGGTTTAGGGTTTAGGGTTTAGGGTTTAGGGTTTAGGGTTTAGGGTTTAGGGTTTAGGGTTTAGGGTTTGGGGTCTGGGGTTTAGGGTTTAGGGTTTCGGGCTTCGGGCTTCGCGTTTCGGGTTCAGGGTTTCGGGTTTACAGCTCTGCACTTAAAAAAAGGGACGGGCGCCTCAGTTATTGGGATATATGACCCTTTGTTCGAAGAAACTAGACACGAGGGTTGCTCGTAGGTAGGGCTCATAGCGGGTCTGCAGGGGATGGTATGGTGTATACCCCTAAGGGTCCATGTTACGTGTGTAGATACTGCGTCTTTAAAGGGGCTTCCCATAGACCAGCCTTCGAGTTCAAGCAGTACACATGCTGGGCGCCCCACCCCCCCAGCCGAAAAACAGGAAAAGTGCAGGAACCAGCCCTAAACCCTAAACCCTAAACCCTAAACCCTAAACCCTAAACCCTAAACCCTAAACCCTAAACCCTAAACCCTAAACAAAAAAAAACACTGCGGCAACCCAGGACCCGTGGCCCAACTAACCATGAACCTCCAAGTGGGGTGTGGAGCTTTGACCGTGTAGGGCCGGGTCTTGGAAAACACCACTCAACTCAACGCAGGCTACGAAGCCCTTGGATCCAAACCCTAAACCCTAAACCCTAAACCCTAAACCCTAAACCCTAAACCCTAAACCCTAAACCCCAAACCCTAAACCCTAAACCCTAAACAGTAAACCCTAAACCCTAAGCCCTAAACTGGCCCTAAACCCTAAACACAAATCGTGAGGATGGCACCAGCTGCTGGTTCCCTCGCCGAGGCTCGGTGATGGTAACGCCCGTGTCCACGGCGGTGTGCCTCCTCAGAGCTCACACGCTTAGGGTTTAGGGTTTAGGGTTTAGGGTTTAGGGTTTAGGGTTTAGGGTTTAGGGTTTAGGGTTTAGGGTTTAGGGTTTAGGGTTTTCCATAAACCCTAAACCCTAAACCCTGGGCCTTCTACCCCCCCCCCCCCCCCCCATACCCAGGTTCCCTTGCAAAGCAACCAACCACAAGAAGGGTGCCCTTCTTTAAGATGGTTGCTGGGCTACCACGTCTAGAAGGGGTTATGCATGCACTTCGAAAACCCCAAGCCCCAAACCCTCCCTCCAGAGCTCCCAGATTATCCTAGAGATGCTTGCAGCGATAAACCTGCATAACCCAACCTCCTGGAATGGTTCCCGAGCCTCGAAACCAGCTTAGAGTTTAGGATTTAGGGTTTAGGGTTGTTGCGGTGCGCCCCCATGAAGACCTCACAAGCATGTGGAGCACATGGCTGAGCATGAAAACCATAGATCTAATCGGAAGGGGAACCCCAAAAAGAGGAATGGAAGGGGTACGGCCCAGCCAACCAGCCTGAGGAGAGGCCCAGCTGCAGACTCTATCTTCACATAGCCCAACCTGGCGTCGGGTTTAGGGTTTAGGGTTTAGGGTTTAGGGTTTGGGGTTTGGGGTTTGGGGTTTAGGGTTTAGGGAGGCACGATGCGTGCGATGTGAAAAAGTTCAACAATCCTCGGGGCTCGAGCATGGAGCCCTCCGAAATCTGAAGTCCAGAAAGGAGAGACATGCAGCTATGCACACTCCTAAACCCTATAAAGTCCTTAAGCCCCAAACCTTAAACCCCCGAGCCCCAGACCCCACAATCGCACGGAAGAAGACGTGCTGCTGCAGACTATTCTAGGATGGCCCGCAAGACCCTCGGAAAAATGTTCCTGAATATGATTCTCTTCAACCGAATAAGGGAAAATGCCTACCGAGTATTCTCCCGAAGGCTCTTTCTTCAGACTTTGCCCCGCCTACGGATCGACCCAGGTGCGACATTTTGGACTTGGCCCTGAACCCCAAACCCTAAACCTGGCTGGTTCTTAGTAGGGACTGAGGGAATGAGGCCCCTGTATATACCTTGAAGGGACTATGTAGGGTACCTCATTCCCCCATTCCACCCTAAACCCTAAACCCTAAACCCTAAACCCTAAACCCTAAACCCTAAACCCTAAACCCTAAACCCTAAACCCTAAACCCTAAACCCTAAACCCTAAACCCTAAACCCCACACCAGAACCAGCGGGAAACGACTAAACCCCAGGCCCTAACCAAACCCTAAACCCTAAACCCTAAACCCTAAACCCTAAACCCTAAACCCTAAACCCTAAACCCTAAACCCTAAACCCTAAACCCTAAATGGCGTTGGCCTCTGGATGCCCTGCGGCCCTAGGAGCGGCTCGAGGTTTCGATAGACCTGTCAGTTTAGGGGTTTGGGGTTTGGGGTTTGGGGTTTGGGGTTTGGGGTTTAGGGTTTAGGGTTTAGGGTTTAGGGTTTAGGGTTTAGGGTTTAGGGTTTGGGGTTTAGGGTTTAGGGTTTAGGGTTTAGGGTTTAGGGTTTGGGGTTTAGGGTTTAGGGTTTAAGGTGTGTACGGGTGCAGCCCGAGCAGGCCGGGTGACGAGTCTCGGCTGCAGGAGGATTGGGGACTTAGGCTTTGGGGTGTAGGGGTTGGGGATTGCGGTGTAGGGTTTCGGGTGCACCCAGAGACTCCAAAACCGCTTAATTAAGGAATATACCTTAAAGTATAATCGGAACCCTAATATGATTTAAGGTATATTCCTTAATTAAGGGGTTTTGGAGTCTCTGGGTAGGGTTTCGGGTCCACGTACCTATCCACCGGTGAGATGGGGAAGTGGGCCCAGGAGTTCAGGCAAGGCAGCGCATAGTATATCCCGTCTGTAGAGGTACATAGATAACTCTAGATCGGCCTGGCGTCAGCGATTTTTACGGGGTTAGTAAAGTTTAAGCTTAGGGTTTAGCATGGTTTAGCAGGGTGTTTCTGGTTTCAAGGTTGGATCAGGCTGGTGTAGGCCAGGGCATATATAAGTCTAGTGCGAAGAAGGGCTTCAGGTGTATTGGCATTCAGATAAGCGTGGGTTGCTCTGGGTGCTCCGATGTTTGCTCTTGGTTTAGGGTTTAGGGTTAAGTGCTTCGGGTTTAGGGTTAGGCCTAATTTAGGAAGGATTTTGTCACACTGGGTAAGCGTGCAGGGCCCCTAATGCCCTAATGCAGAAAGACAACCTGGATGCAATTGCACAGACTGCGCCGCCCGCAGCACGCCGATGTGCGAGGTATTCTTGGAATGATACCAAATCAACCCTAAACCCTAAACCCTAAACCCTAAACCCTAAACCCTAAACCCTAGACCCTAGACCCTAGACCCTAGACCCTTAACCCTAAAAGCCCAAAACCCTAACCAACAAAAAGAGCAGAGCTCGAGACCTCTGACTTCTGGCAGCAGTGTCACTGCCAGAACCTTTGCTGCCCATGTTGGCTTGGAGTTTAGGGTGTATGCCAATACAAAACACCCTATACGATTCCTAAACCCTAAATTACTAAACCCTGAACCCTCAACCCTGAACCCTAAACCCTAAACCCTAAATCCTAAACCCTAAACCCTAAACCCTAAACCCTAAACCACAGATCCTGAATCCCGCGCCGCCTGAGATGAGGGAGGCACCGTCAGCCAGCGGATGTCGCCATCACGGAATATCCTCCAGACCGTGGTGGAACTTGATGCTTCTCTAGGGTTTAGGGTTTAGGGTTTAGGGTTTAGGGTTTAGGGTTTAGGGCCAAGAGTTACCTGGGGGAAAAAACGGTGCCCTCCTTGGTTTTAAGGGGAATACAAGGGAACCTAAAGCCGAAAAAAAGGGAATAAGGGCCTACTCCGAAGACACATGCACGAGTCCCTTTCCCTGCGTCTCACTCCTCAGCAATATACTGACGTCCCTTCCCCCTTTCATTAAACGCCCCCCCTCATTATGAACACACTTTCCGGAAAATCCTGCCGAAACCGACCCTGCCTTGTAAACCCTATTCCGAATTAGGGGGGCGGTTCAGGGCTCCTAAAACCCTCAAGCCGACCAACATCCTGAAGCTCCCTTCCCGTGTGAATGAGTGAGTGCGTGCGTGCGGGGTGTGGGTGTGGGTGTGGGTGTGGGTGTGGGTGTGGGTGTGGGTGTGGGTGTGGGTGTGGGTGTGGGTGTGGGTGTGGGTGTGGGTGTGGGTGTGGGTGTGGGTGTGGGTGTGGGTGTGGGTGTGGGTGGGGGTGTGGGTGTGGGTGTGGGTGTGGTGTGTGGTGGGTGTGGGTGTGGGTGTGGGTGTGGGTGTGGTGTGGTGGTGTGGGTGTGGTGTGGGCTCGCGCGCGCGGGTGTGTGTGTGTGTGTGTGTGTGTGTGTGTGTGTGTGTGGGTGTGTGTGTGTGTGTGTGTGTGTGTGTGGGTGTGTGTGTGTGTGTGTGCGTGTGTGTATGTGTGTGTGTGTGTGTGTGTGTGTGTGTCGGTGCGTGCGTGCGTGCGTGCGTGCGTGCGTGCGTGCGTGCGTGCGTGCGTGCGTGCGTGCGTGCGTGCGTGCGTGCGTGCGTGCGTGTGTGTGTGTGTTGGCTGCAAAGCCCTACGCTCTCAGGGTTAAGTCATTGCTTAAACCCTCCAAAGCCTGAAGCCTACACCCCAAACCCTTTGGACCCAAGACATGACATTTTGATAAAACCCCCCCCATCCCCCCAAAAAACAACACATTTCGAGTTTCTATTGGGGGGGGGGGGGGGGTTAGGGGGAAGGGATTAGTCCCCAATGCTCCCTAAGGCTCCGTAAGCTTCCCTTGGCTGCCTCCCTAAACCCTAAACCCTAAACCCGAAACCCGAAACCCCAAACCCCAAACCCTAAACCCTAAACCCTAAACCCTTAACCCTAAACCCTGAACCCTAAACCCTTAAGGACCCTGTAAGTTGAGGGTTTAGGGTTGAGCCCCTGGAGCTGCTAAACATCACTGAAGCCTCTAAACACCCTCAACTCGATGGTCGATTTTCTCAACCAAACAAACCAAGCAAAGCTCAGGAAGTCATGAACCCTGAAATCCCTAAACCCTAAACCCTGAAATCCCTAAACCCTACACCCTAAACCCTGAATCCTGAAATCCCTAAACCCCAAACCCTAAACCCTAAATCCTACACCCTAAGGCACCATCAGCCCACGGCTGGGTCAGCCCCAGAAGCCGAGAAACATCCAAAGGCTGCGTAGGGTTCAAAGTTCAGAGTAAAGGGTGTGCATACATTTATTTATATATAAATGTAAATATAAATATAAATATAAATACAAATAGAAAAATAAATAAACATACATATACATAAACAAACAGAAAAAATATGTGTATATATATATATATGTGTATATATATAGGGCCCCAATTCCCTCATTCCCTGCTGAGAACCAGGGTAGTTCTCAAACCTCGAAAACCCTACTCCTATAAGGGAATATAGGGATGTTCACATTTCTATTTTCAAAATGTGTTTTTATTATTATTAATATTTTTTGTTGGGGGGGGGGGGGGGGGTGTTTTGAAGCAAACCTAAACCCTACTACTGTTTACAAGGGATATATAGGGATTATGATCTTGCATTTTTTCTTGGGGGGGGGGGGGGGGAAGTTCTTAAGCAAATGGCAGCCTAAGCCCTAAACCCTTTCGAATCCCCTGTCTGTCTGTCCTGGCGATGGCGTGGTCGACTGTTCGGAGCTGGTCTCCCTGCGAGGGAGTCCGTTTAGGGCTTTAAGGGTTAAGGGCTTTAAGGGTTAAGGGTTTAGGGTTAAGGGATTAGGGTTTAGGGTTTAGGGATGTTCGTCCAATAGGGTTCAGGAAACGCAGCTCCAGCGGCAAAGGACGGGGTAAAGATGCCCAGATCATCCTAGAAGCTGCGAGACATCAAGAACGACTCAGGATCGAAAGCCCAGGCAAAAGCTGCTACTAACCCAAGGAAGAAGAATCCGTGGAATATATCCTGCTCCAAGAGAAACCCCAAACCGGAAGCTACTAATTGCTTTAGAACCCCGAAACATATTCTTCCTTAGTAAGGGCAATATAGGGGTTATTATTTTTTTGATCTTCTAGGGTTCTTAAGCAAATAGTAGTAAGCAAGACCTCCTCCAAGATCAGGTCATCGGGTCCCTCGTCTTCTCGGCTGGCGGCGATCCTCGCAGTTCCGCTAAGCTCAAGGGGATTTTGAAGGCGTGTGTGGCTCACGTAAAAGGACTTGGTGGTCTTGAGACTTGAAAAGTCTTGTGGCTTCATGACTTCAGGCTAGGAAAAATTTGCATGGCGTTGAAAGAACATGAAGAATTGGAGGCCCTTTCTCCCCAAACGCACCAAGTCTCCGAAACCTCCCGCCCTGCACCCCTAAGTCTCCAGACTCTAAACCCTACTTGGGGTTTCATGGGTAGTTCTAAGTAGGGTTCTAATTATGGTAACGATACTTATAGCCCTATTTGGGGTACTTATACCCTTACTTATAAGGGACCCATAAACCTCCAAGTAAGCCCGCTTCCCGGCGCTGAAAGATCAAGACCACGGACGAGGTTAGAACCAAAGGTGCGGCTGTCAGAAATTCTTCAGCAATCCCCTCCCCCTAATGTTAAGCCTCCCCCCCCTTCCCCCCCTGTCCCCCTACCCCCTGATATGAAATACCCCTACCCTTTTTTATCAGTTTTGTTTTTCTTTTTTTTGTGGGGGGGGGGGGGGGGGTATCTAATATTAGGGGGCAGGGGGCGGGGGGTTATCATTAGGGGGTGCCAGGTAGGACATTGGGATCTATTGAATGCTTACCCTTGACTGGTGCAAGAAGTGCAATTCTGCCTCACCCCCCGAGTGTTAAGGGGTCTAAGAATGTGGGTTCTAGGTTGGGATGTTCCCCCTTATACTAACAGTTCCTACTTGGGATTACCGTACCCCCCGCCCAATTATAATCGCTATTAAGGAATGTTAGACAAGGGGGAACATCCACCTCTCACAGCTCGCCCTGTTGTATCCGCACGTAGTGTCATGTTTAGGGTTTAGGGTTTAGGGTTTAGGGTTTAGGGTTTAGGGTTTAGGGTTTAGGGTTTAGGGTTTAGGGTTCGTAGATGGTTACATGGCGAGGCAGGTACACCACTCCATCGAAGCCTTAAACGTTTTACCCTAAACCTTAACCTCGGGGCTCAATACCCCAGCCCCCAAAAAGGTTTACCTTTAGCGTTTAGGGTTTAGATTCTAGAGAACCAAAAAGGCTGAAAGTTACCTGCCCAGTCTCTAAGATTGACCCACACCGAAAGCTGGTTCTTCTAGCTAATTCTCTATGGATAGAAACAACAGCGCCCAGAGGTATTAATTCAAGATCCGAGTAGAAAAGTCATGTGGCGCGGTCCTGCATGTGCTGGCCACCACCACCCAGTGGTCCAGCTTGACCAAATCCTTGTAGCCCGGCAGTTTGGGGGTTAGGGTATAGGGTTTAGGGTTCTGGGTTTACGGGTTTAGGGTTTAGGGGTTTCCTGGCTTCGTTTTCTGAGGCGAAAAAGGGGAACAGAAGAAGATGGTTCACAATTGTGTTGGCACTGAACAGGTACAATGATACGTACTCGGCAAATACGTGCAGGTCTGCACCCTCCAACAGGGGTCGAGGAAACCCTAAACCCTAAACCCTAAAATGTAGAATTCAGGGCTGCTTCTTGGTTGCAGGGCAGCCATATCAACTCCCTCAGTCTGCACTTAAAAGCCCCACCGAAACTTCACCCCGAAACTCTCTTATGAAAACTCTAGCCTGGGCCCTTGATCATCTTGGGGTACTTACATGGTCCCTTAGTATGGGCCCTTTTAAGGGTACACCTGCCTTATATCCCCCATATACAACCCAAGGGCCCATACTCCAGAACCCTTGAAAGTGGGTAAGGGATCATCTTCAGGGACCATGAAACTACCCTTAGAGCTTTACCAAGGTACGACTCCCACGTAAACCCGCTAGTTATCGCTATACGAGACAAGCCTATCTACGTCAACCCTTCTGCCATTGTCAATGCGAGCCCCAGGCCACGAAGTGTCGTCCAGGGCTGCTACCTGCGCGGGGGGGGTGCACTCCATCACTGCAAGTTTCGGGGCCTTGCAGGTTCATGGGGACATATAAGTAGGGCTTTAAGTAGGGTGACGATGGTCATAACCTTATTGAGGGTACTGATAAGCCCACTTATGAGTACCCATGAACCTTCAAGTAGCCACAAGCTGAGCACGCAGGCAGGGCGGTCGGCTTTATTTCAGGTGCTCTTGTCCTGGGCGGCAGCATCGTGTCCACGGACCTGGTTGCTGAGGAGACATCGCTGAGCTGTTTGTGAAGATGAACATGCATCTGCCACTGCCATGTGATTCCCTGAGTTTCCTATGAGCTCCTAGGCCCCTTGGCTTGGGATACCGGTACCCCGAAAACCCTAAACCCTAAACCCTAAACCTTAAACCCTAAACCCTAAACCCCTGCCAGAATCTAGAGAACTGGTCCGATGGCGGCTCTCACACTGCAGGAAGGTTCGTGGGTAGTTTTCAAGGGCACAAGTGCTACAAGTCAGGCTATAGCAAGCTGAGGAAATCGAGCAAAAGCATGCAACCCCTGTAAAAATGCTACCCAAGCCCTGAACCTTACCCTAAACCCTCAACCCTCAACCCTCAACCCTCAACCCTAAACCCTAAACCCTAAACCCTAAACCCTAAACCCTGAACCCTGAACCCTAAACCCTGAACCCTAAGCTGCATGAACCTGTCAAGTAGGGACTGGGCAGACCGCCCTCAAGGAAGATCTCCGAGCGCATCTGTGAACCCTGAGCCGCTGAGATGGTTTAGGGTTTAGGGTTTAGGGTTTAGGGTTTAGGGTTTAGGGTTTAGGGTTTAGGGTTTAGGGTGGTCCATGCATGTCCTTCTTTATGCATGCGGCGGTGTAACCGTACCTGGTTTCTGCTAGTTTTCTGGGGGGGGGGGGGGGGGGTTGTTACGTCATTCTTACTGCGCCCACTCCGACGCATCGGCCTTTCGAACACTTTCGGGGTGGTCTTCCATAGTTTATCCCTGTGTTTCTTGAACGCTAGTTTCGCCGAGGTGAGATGCTTCTTTTGGCAGAAGAAAACAAGGGTGATTGTGTATGTTTGTTGTTTGCGAAACCTTGGGTTTTTGCAACATGTTCAGGTCGTTTTGTTGTTGGGGCCTTCAGCGAGGCCTCAACAGCAAAACGACCTGAACATTTTGCAAAACCCTAACGTTTCGCAACAAAAAAACATACACAATCACCCTTGTTTTCTGCCACAAGAAGCATTTCACCTAGGCGAAACGCGAACTTTCAATAACATAGGGTACAGCGCTGAAGGCCCCAACAACAAAACGACCTGAACATGTTGCAAAAAACCAAGGTTTCGCAAAAAGACACACAAAATCACGCATTTGTTAAACCTGCCAAAATAAGCATTTCACCTAGGCGAAAACGCTAACTTTCAGCAAAAAAACGGTTTCAACGGCGGCGGGCTCTTTATGCCATTAGTATGGGCCCGTGCAAGGGACCCTAAATATTCCCCATGCAGGATTCCGCGACTGTGTAAGGTGTCGACGTGGCCCCAGGGTATGCCTTGTGTAGCCTCTCAGGCAGGGATATGTGCTCTACTGTTTGGTATATTTCCCCTTGTCTTGAGGTATGAAGGTTACTCTAGGTGGAGTCTATCAAGAGTGCTGGCAGCAGATTGGAGCCCTTTGAAAACTGTTTATGAGCAGCTTCCTTTAAACGGGAAGAAGGGTAATTCAAAATTATCTCGAAGCACAACCCCGTCAACCTTCAAACCTGCCGGCGGTTCCTAAGCCCTAAAGCCTAAAGCCTAAAGCCTAAAGCCTAAACCCTAAACCCTAAGCCCCATACGCTAGTTCCTGGGGCCCGCAGCCAGGCCAAGATGGGTCAGGACCAGCTGAACATCCTTGTGCAAGTCCGACCTTCAGGCTTCTAAGGCTTCACAGGGTTTAGGGTTTAGGGTTTAGGGTTTAGGGTTTAGGGTTTAAGGTTTGGGTTTCGGGTTTCGGGTTCAGGGCCTTGGAGGTTCACCTTAGAGCAGCGTAGACGTTTTGAGAAGAAAATGGAATGGTAAGCAAGTCTACACCCGTACACCCACTAGTTCATGTATTCGGGTTTAGGGTTTAGGGTTTAGGGTTTGGGGTATGGGGTTTGGGGTTTAGGGAAGCTTAGGGTGCAGAGATTCTGGAGAGGTTGGGGTGGCGTGAAACGGGAAGGAAGTTAGCTTCAAGTCCATGCCTTGTGCAGGAGTTTCGGCTTTGGTGTCCGGGTACCCACCTTGCCTGAATACAGCTTCCAATGCCAAGTTGTGCCCCGAAGCCCTAGGCCCTAAGAACTAAGCCCTAAACCCTAAGCCCTAACCCTAAAACCCTAAAACCCTAAAACCCTAAAACCCCAAAACCCAAAAACCCAAAAACCCAAAAACCCTAAAACCCAAAAACCCTAAAACCCTAAAAACCCCTAAAAAACCCAAAAACCCCTAAAAAACCCTAAAAAACCCTAAAAACCCCTAAAACCCAAAAACCCTAAAAACCCTAAAACCCCAAAACCCTAAACCCCAAAAACCCCAAAACCCTAAAAACCCCTAAAAACCCCTAAAAACCCCTAAAAACCCCTAAAAACCCCTAAAAACCCCTAAAAACCCCTAAAAACCCCTAAAAACCCCTAAAAACCCCTAAAAAACCCCTAAAACCCTAAAACCCTAAAACCCGAATCATCCCACACAGATGTTCAACTCCAAGTCTTGCCATGCTGTTCGTGAATGGCAAGTTGGCCATGCCTTTCCGGATCGTTCTTTAGTCGTGGCCCAATATATATCCAGTTCTCTAATTGTTTAGGGTTTAGGGTTTAGGGTTTAGGGTTTAGGGTTTAAGAGAATAAGGACCGCCGTTTAACAAGGACCCCAACAGGGACCAGATTGTAGAGAAGTGACCATACATTGGCGAGGACCTATGAGTCAACAGGCTTGAGGGCTTCAGAGTGTAAGGCGCATGCTCAACAAGCAGCTGCCGAAACCGCAACTCAAGCCATCTCAGGGGGCCGACGAAGAGATCGACCAGTCGTTCTGCACCTCTGGCGGCAGTAGATTTCGCCGCCTGCGGCAGGGCATGCGAGGTGGGACTTTTTTGTAGCTGTGCTCGGTGAGGTGTCTATGCTTCCTTTTTTTGCAGATACTTGTCACCGGTGAATCTTAATATCCGCCGAAGCCTTGGGCCATAGGTGTCTGGGCAAGGTACCCCACCTCTAATCCCCTCCCCTGACCTCCCTCTGTTTAACACCTTTCTGCTCCAGCCAAACGTGGACGTTGCATCAGAACCAGGGGACATGTCCCCTCCACCCCCGCCCCACCGCGCCACAACTCCCCACCCTTCAATCCTACCCCTGCTTGTTTCTCGTGTTTTCTCACTCCCAGATTTGGGGTGCCTGGTCTATACATCAGCCTGCGTGTTACATAGGCACCCCCAAAAGAATAATTGTTCGAAGCATCTCAAAGCCCGGGAGCCTAACAGAACCTTCGCACGCGCGATCTCCGGTTTGGGTTGCCTCGCCACTGGGCAGGCCCCGGCCGAGGCGTGTCGCGTAGCGTTGAAATTAGGTGTCCTTCACAAACACCCATGTGAGTTCAGGCTTATTGCAGCTTCAACGCCTGCTCCCTGAAAATGTCCAAGCCATCTAGCTCTAGAATCTTCTGACCTGCCCAAAGGCTCAACTGTAGCTGTAGCTTTCCCTGAGCCCTACAAACCCCAAACACATGAACCCTCTACTAGACAATCCCTAAAAACTATGAGCCTCAAGACCTATCAACCTGATATAAACCCGAAACCCTAAGCCCTAAACCCCAAACCCTAAACCCCAAGCCCTAAGCCCTATAAGCCCACAAACGCAAAAACAGAGCGCACACAGCCGGTCCTGGCTCGAAACTGCGGAAGGAAGCGCAGGGCCAGGTAGAGCATTGACTCAGAGAACCGAAGACTCTCAAGTGGGTTGAGGGAGGGTTTAGGGTTTAGGGTCTAGGGTTTAGGGTTTAGGGTTTAGGGCTTAGGGTTTAGGGTTTAGGGTTTATGGTTTAGGGTTTGGGGCTTAGGACTTCGGGTTCGGGACTAGAGTTCAGGGCTTGGCGCACGGTTCAGGGTTGAATTCTCGAGGTTTGGGGGTTGGGGGAGAGCTCAGAATTGCTGGGTCATCTGCCTACGAAGTGAAGGACTCTACGTAGAAGTTCAGACTTTTCAAGGCCTTCCTGGGGCCTGTTGAGTCGGCCATCGCTCAAGGAATCCAAGTACAAAAAAGGGGCCTTCACGATTAGAATAGGGTTTTGGGGGTTATTACAGGGGTTTTGGGGGTTATTACAGTATGCTTGGAAAGGGACCATAAGAGAAGACTATTCGAAGTTATTCCGAACCCCCTATTGCTAAAGCTTTTGAAAGGAAGCCAGGGCTTGTCTTGCTGGCTCAAGGACTTGTAAGTTACAAGGGGGGATCCGAAGTATAGGCCCTTACTTTGGGTCCCCTGGTCTATAATCCTTGCGTGCGCTATACGTCATAAGGGGCCATACTTCGGATCCTTTCAAAACCCTTTCAACAAGGGGTGTGGGACCATACTAGCGACCAATGGTTCCAGCCTAGAAGGGGGGGGTTTCCAAAGTTAGGGCCTGCAGGTTTTGCGGGTTCCTAGCAAAGATTTGGCCCACAAAAGCCTAGAACTAGGAGCTTTGCTATTTATAAGGGGTTGCAGTTCTGTTGAAAATTTGGTTAAAAACGTTTCTACAGCCTTTCACAGGTATACATGTGTTGTCTATTATCTTATACAACACCCCCCCGCCCCACCACCAACAATATTGAAACAACCGTCGAAGAAAGCTGGTACCCTCAAGCCATTTGCGGCTTGGGCCTACCCTAAGCCCTAAGCCCTAAGCCCTAAGCCCTAAACCCTAAACCCTAAACCCTAAGCCCTAAACCCTAAACCCTCAACCCGAAGACTTCGCCTGAGCCTTTGGGTATGAGTGTCTGGAAACCCTTCTACACCCCTGAAGCCTGAAACCCTCAAGCCCTAAAAACTCGAAGACCCAAGGGTTTGGGGTTTAGGATTTGGGGTTTGGGGTTCAGGGTTCAGGGATTAGGGGACCCTTAGCCCTCAAACCCGATAACAAAAAACAATCCCGACCACAGTACCATACCGCCGAACGGTACCGCCGTACCGCAGCCGAGGAGCTAGGTGGAAGTTGTGCGAGTGCCACTCCTCCACCTTTAAGGGGGTTCAGGGTTTAGGGTTTGGGGTTTGGGGTTTGGGGTTGCCCATACTTGGTATCCTAGCGCTACACCAAAACCCTAAACCCTATACCCTAAACCCTGAACCCTAAACCTTTAACCCTAAACCCCAAACCTAATGGGCTCTCAAGCCCGAAGCCTTTAGACCCCCAACGTCCAACATCCTGTATAGCCGGTTTAGGGTTTAGAGTTCAGGGTCAAGGGTTTACGGGTATAAAGGGTATTCAAAGTTTAAAAAAGAGGTTTTTTTCCGAACGGCCCTAAAGTGTTTAGGGATTTGGGTTCAGGGTTAGGGAGGTACAGGGCAAACTCATGGGAACACAGCAGTGGCTCACACGGATTTGTTTCTTGGGAACTGCGACCCGCATCTTGTCTTCCCAATTCCGCCAAATCTCCTCGGCTTCTCTGTCGAACCGTTTTCTCGGCGGTCGCCCTTGCCGCTAAGGCGACGGGCTCTCGGTAAGTCATCATTGACAACCCGGCTGCTGATGCGTTTCAAACAAGCTGATGCCTTCCGTCATTGGGGCTCAAACGTCATCATTGACAACCCGGCTCCTGATGCGTTTCAAACAAGCTGATGCCTTCCGTCATTTGGCTCAAACGTGACCTCCAACCCCAAACCCGAACAGCTCTACTTTGGATTGGTAGCCCAGTAACCATATCATAATAAGGGTGCCCCTTTTTGGTTGGTTACTTTCTAATAAGGGAACCCAGAACCCAAAAAATGGGTGAAAGGTACTTCTGGGCTACCACCCTACTTTGGTAGACCGGAAACTACTGGGCTACCACCCTACTTTGGAGTAGACCGGAAAAAAGTATGTACTTTTCAGGTAAAAGCAGCTATAACAGGCACCCAGGACCAAAAACAAAGTGTTAAAGCATAGTACTCCAAAACCCTAGACCCTGAACCCTGAACCCTAAACCCTAAACCCCAGAACAAGGTAGTGAGCCCGAACCCGGGCCGTCCTCGGCTGCACGCCCCAGCCTGCGACCCTCCTGCTCAGGCTCATAGGAAAATAGGGTTTAGGGTTTAGGGTTTAGGGTTTAGGGTATAGCGGTGTAGGGACTGCAAGGGGATGATTGATCATTTAACTTCTTTAAGCACCTGTACCGCACCGATAGGAAGACGATAAATGCATGAAAGCAACAGCTTGGGGTTCAGGGTTCAGAGCAAGTCTCAACTTGGTTTTGTTTGTCTGGACTTCATGCTAAGGAGTGGCGTACTACAGTTGAGCCGTTGTGTGGTGGTTTTCTGCTAATTACCCAAATAGAGAAACATACCATTTACCACATGTTACATGTCCCGTGCATGGTAACGTAACTTAAGTTCAGTAACCATAACCCAGTGTATGGCGTGCTAATTTTGTATTGAAGATTTCGAGGGGTAAGATTCATGAGATGCAAGGGCCAATGCCAAGCGGATTTACTGCAGCGCTTTCCTAGAAGCCAAGAACCTGAAAAAAACCGGTGGGTCGTACAGCGGAAGCCAGATTGGGAGGACCCCCCTTCCCCTCCCCCCAACAAAAAATGAAAAAAAGAAAACGCATGCGCCTCTTGGGAACCCGTAAGTAACCCATGTCAAGCCCAAAAAAATCAATCGTGCAAAGCCCTTCTTTCGAACACCGTGTTCTTCGCTCCAGTACCTGGTATTCACGGGCGTCTCCAGTATGTGAAGCGATAAAGTTCCATTTGGAAAGACCCGAGCCCCTCTGACAAGCCAATTCCCGTGTTAGAACCAAACGCGTAAGCAGCCACTTGTTGGGATCTTTGTGTTTTTGTTCTTTGGTGCGCAGAGGGGCACATCATGCACATGAAGCGCGTGGAAGATCAATGTGCCGCTGCGTTGCTTTGATTCAAAATCCGCAGCTTAAGTTGAGGGACGCTGGTGCATTTTCGTGTGTAGCCTGGGAAGACGTAATGTGGCTATGGGCATCACCCCCTGTTGTAAAATGACTGTCCGTGGCGTAGAGCGCAGTCGGTCACATACCCAGAAGCAGAACCCCTAAACCCCAAACCCTAAACCCTAAACCCTAAACCCCCAGGGCGCGCCTCATAGACGTCCGCGACAAAGTCCACCTCCGATGGGCGAGGTGGCTCGGGATGCAGCACCTTGGCGTAGGCCTCAGAGTTGCGGTTTAGGGTTTAGGGTTTAGGGTTGAGGGTTGAGGGTTTAGGGTTCTTCGTCGGATGCACGCGGACCCCCCTGCAGCACCCCTGGCAGCTTCAGGTAAGTCTGCCAAAGACAGAGCATCGGGCTTTCGATGGTGTTCCTAAACCCTAAACCCTAAACCCTAAACCCCAAACCTCCGCCCCAAACCCTAAACCCTAAACCCTAAACCAATCACAGCGATGAGGTGAAAACTCAGCGACAAAGTCTCAGGCCACCAGCACTTTGGCTCGCAGCTTCCACGAACCTCCTGGTTCTCGCTGAGCCTGTGCACTCTCTTCAGGTGTGGTGCAGCCCTACAGTAAACCCCAAAAAAGTTGGAAACCTTTTTAAGGACAAATAGTGCTGGGATTCCCTATACTTTAGTCTTAGGGATTGAGGCTATTGAGTTTCCGACTTTCTGGCTTCTAGCCCTCTTGCAAGAACGAATGTGCCAAAAATGAAGGCCACGTCCAAACTCCTAGGCCCTCCGACGACACTAGTTTCATAGAGACTTCACTTTGGGCTTCTAGGGGTTAGGGCTTAAGGTTTAGGGTTTAGGGTAAACATAGGATTTGTAGGGTTTAAGGTTTCGAGTTTAGTTCAGGGCTCAGAAGCCTTGAGGCCAATAGGGCATCATATTCTCCCAACAAGTGATGAGCTAAGATTATGTCTCGGGCCTAGGGAAGCTTAGGGAGCCTTAGGGAGTAGTAGGGAGTATTCGGGAACCTTGGGTTACACGCCCCCCTTGAACCCCCCTCCCTTGAGAACCCCCTAGAATGTGCCAAAGGGCCCAACAAATTGAAACCAAACCCCAAGGGCTCGAAGACTCTTTTAGGGTTTAGGGTTTGGGTTTCGGGTTTTAGGGTTTAGGGTTTATAGGGTTTATTGGGTTTGTAGGGTTTATAGGATTTACAGGGTTTATAGGGTTTGTTGGGTTTATAGGGTTTATAGGGTTTATAGGGTTTATAGGGTTTATAGGGTTTATAGGGTTTATAGGGTTTATAGGGTTTATAGGGTTTATAGGGTTTAGGGATTAGGGTTGAAGACTCTTATTTGGAAGACCACGCAAAAGGGCTCCCCATGCACACTCTTCACAAATATCCCTAAGCAGATGCGCTGCTCTCCGCTTGCGACTTGACTTGCCGTGATCCCCTCAAAAAAGCTGAGGCCTAAACTCTAAAGGGCCCTGGAACTATCAACTTCCACGTGTCGAAATTCCCCACCTCTTTCTAGCAGGCTTGCTGAAACAGGCAAAACGAACCTCCATATTTGGACCCTTGACTAGAGCTCCTTTCTTAGGGTGTCCAGTGTTACGGTTGTTTCATAAAACGGGGAAAACATCTGGTAACTCCGAAATGAGAAGAACTACACTGTAAAACCCTCTGCGCACATTCCTCTTTGACCTGTCAAAGGTTCCAAACACATCTCCCAATGGTCTCCTAGAGTAAATGGCATGCCCTCATCAAAGGGATCTGTGCCTTAGATCAGTGTAGTTTACAGGGCAAATACTATGTCTGTATATACGTATGTATCGAATAGGTTACTCTAGGGTCTCCTTTTTCTTCGGTGTTTTTGGGAGTTTGTTAACCCAATTAGGGACATATGAAGATAAATATAAAAACAAAAATATATGAATATATGTAAATATATAAATATATAAATATATAAATATATTTATATATAAATATATAAATATATAAATATATAAATATATAAATATATAAATATATAAATATATAAATATATAAAAATATAAATATATAAATATATATATTTATATAAACCAATAAATCTAAAATATATACATATATATAAATATATAAAATATATAATATATAAATATGAAATATACAATATTACAAATTATACAAATATAATAATATACGAATATATAAATATATATATATATAAAATATATACATATTATATATATAAATATATAAATATATAAATATATAAATATAAATATATAAATCGATAAATCTATAAATCTATAAATTCTAAAAATCTATAAATCTATAAATCTATAAATCAATATATAAATATAAATATAATAATATAAATATAAATATATAAAAATATATAAATATATAAATATATAATATATAAATATATAAATATTAAATATATAAATATATAATATATAAATGTAACAATATACCAAAATACAATATACAAATATAAAAAAATATACAAAATATATACAAATATAAAATATATACAAAAATATATCAATATATATAAATAAATATAAATATAAGTATAAATATAAATATAAATATAAATAAATATAAATATAAATATAAATATAAATATGCATATAAACATGAATATAAACAAATAAATAAATAAACTGAAACAAATAAAAAATAAATAAATAAATATAAATAAATCAATATATATATATATATGCATATTCCTAGTAGGCTACTCTAGGTAAACGCGAATTTCGGGGTCCAAAATCCGACTTCCGGATCCCGGGCCGAAAGACCAGCCTGGTAGGCACGCTCGAGGGTATGTGCGATCAGCCTTGGCACCCAGTGCTGAGTGGTGCCTTAAAAAGACCTTTGAAAGTTACTTTATGAATAGGTTGCCTTATGAAATCCCTTTGAGAATTATGTTTGTGAATGGGCTCACTGAAAAGGGAAAGAAGTGAAGCGTAAACTTCTCCCAAAGCAGAACCCAGCCAGCAGTGGCTGAAGGAAACGTCGGATCTGGACCCTTCGCCGACCCTTCGCTCGAAGTTTGGAACCTAGACCTGGGAGTACCCTAGGAAAAAAAGGGTACCCTTTTTGGCTTTAAGGTGATTATAAGGGAACCCCAACCCTTAAAAAAAGGAAAAAAGGGCCCACTCCCGGTCCTAGGAACTGGCCTCAGAGTACCGAAGTTGTTGAGACTTGCAACCGAGTGGGGTTTGGCGTGTAGGACAAAGAACGTCGTCTGAGTCTTGGCTGTACAGGTGTGGATCAGATCTAGGGTGTAGGCTTATACAGGGCTTAGGTTTGCGTCGGTTGACTTTATATTGGGGTTGCATGGCATTCACTCCGAGTCGTGAGCTCATCTGCAGGCGCCCGCAGATCCGCCTGAGTTTGCATCAAAGTCGAAACGCCATCGCCGCCGGGCGGCACCAAATAGAACAATTCCGGGGGACGCCCTCATCTTTCAAACTAAAACGACTAGGGTTTAGGGTTTAGGGGTTTAGGGTTTAGGGATTAGGGTTCAGGGTTTAGGATTTAGGGTTTAGGGCTAAGGGTTCGCGGTTTGAGGTTTAGGGTTTAGGGTTTAAGGTTTAGGGTTCAAGGTTTAGGGCTAAACGACTTGAATTTGGTTGGGTCGCTGATGAGACGTTGTCGAAACATTGCGGCTGTTGCTTCCTGTGCTGTGTCTTGGAACCCCCCAACACTGAGCCCTAAACATCTTGGACACAAAGCCTACTTGGAGGCTCCATGGGTAGTTCTAACTGGGCTGATGAGCTGGATAGGTTACGTACAGTTTACAGTTTATAACTTGCCCCAACTTAATTTGCCATGAATGAAGTTCTAATGTAGTGTTTCCTTTTCTGTGTGTGCATCTGGGGGGGGGGGGGAGGTGCGTGTAAAACACTTAACCCTAAACCCTATACCCTAAACCCTGAACCCTAAACCCTAAACCCTAAACCCTAAACCCTAAGCCCCAAAACACTTATAGCCATGAACCTCCAAGAACAGGGCGGCCCGAGTGGCTACAGCACAGGCCCAAGCAGCAATGGACAGGAAATTGGCCTCGCCACTTGCGCACAGTTAGGGTTTAGGGTTTAGGGTTTAGGGTTTAGGGTTTAGGGTTTAGGGTTTAGGGTTTAGGGTCTAGGGTCTAGGGTTTAGGGTCTAGGGTCTAGGGTTTAGGGACAGCATCTGGAGCTGCGAGCTATTGAGGCTTGTAGGGTATTGGCTTCAGGGCCTCACAACAAAAGTTGAGAGAGCCGCATAGGCGCATGGCCGTTTTTGCACCAAACTGCGAACAGCTGACGTGCCTCTGCGCGCGTAGCACACCCCAAGTCTCAAATCCGCCACCCAGGATCTATTTTTGTGCTTTGGGCTAGACTTTCAGGAGGAGAAATAATAGGGTCAAAATAAGCCCGAAATAGCAGAAGGAAACTAAGCCCGAAGTATCCTCATAATCAGCCCGAAATTAACCCGACATAAGGTCAACATAAGGCTCATGTCGGGCTTATTCTTGGTTGCCTTTCAGAATGCTCGAGCACTATTTTCTTGGTTATTCTCTGGCCAAATTAGCTAACAACCGTCAAGCTTGCTGCCTTAAAAATCAGCACGGCATCCCTCCCCCGATGCATAACCCCCCCCCCCCCCCCCCCCCCCCCCCCCCCCCGGATCCGATGATACTTCTTTCGAACCCATTTTGAAAATCATTCCTCGTTGCTAGCTCTAGGCACAGGCTGCCTTTTTCCTGGCAAACGGGCCGGTAAGCTGCCTTCGGGAATGGTTTCAGGATAATCAGGGTTTAGGGGTTAGGATGTCGGGTTGGGGAATTTCGTCGTCGGGCGTTGAATTGCGACCCTAAAGCCCTAAAGCAAATCCGTCCTCGTCCCTGGCATCGACGGCTTTCAGAGCAGTGATGGCGGCACCTGCAGAATGAGCCACTTGACAGGTTTGGGGCTTGCAGGGTTTAGGGTTTGGGGTTTAGGGTTTAGGGTTTGGGGTTTAGGGTTTAGGGTTTGGGGTTTAAGGTTTAGGGTTTGGGGTGGCAGGTTTAGGGTTTAGGGTTTAGGATTTGAGGTTTAGGGTTAAGGTCAAGTTTTGACTTTTGAGCTTCTAGGATGTATGGCATGGGGAACAGACTTGATGTTCATGCTCTTGGGCCAAGCCTGTGTGGACTGGCATGTCAGTGTCATACACCCATCTGCGAGTTTGGGCTTGGTGTATGGGGTGGCAGGGCGGCGGGCACGGAGCGGGTTCCACAAGCTAGGCCCCCCAAGTTTTTAGACCCCTGAAGGCCCCAGACTCCCGGGAAGACCTGATTGGTCCCCAAACCCCAAACCCCAAAACCCCAAAACCCCAAACCCCAAACCCCAAACCCGAAACCCGAAACCCGAAACCCTAAACCCTAGACCCCAAACCCTAAACCGATTGAGTCCCAGAAACGGAGGAAGGGCGTAGCTGCGTCGGAGGGTAAGGCAGGCCAGCCTGGCAGACTCTGCTCACTAGGAAATAAGGCCTGGGTGGGGGAGTATACAGGGTTGAGGTTTCAGGGTTTAGGGTTTGGGGTTTAGGGCTTAGGGTTTAGGGTTTAGGGTTTAGGGTTGAGTATAAGACTTAGTTGCTGAGTCCATCAGCCCCCCCAAAAGTGTACACTTTCAGTTCTATAGGGGATTATCGTATGCCAGAAAGTGTACAGTGTAAAGTTTACGCACTCCACTCAGCTACTAAGAAGAGGGGCTGCTGGTTCTAAGGCCTAAAGCCGAAGCCCCCCCCCCCCCCCCAAAAAAAAAAAAAACTGAGGTTGTCGGGCGCAGAATTTCTGAAAATCAAGCTCCGGTATCTGCATGGCATCGGGCAGGTCGGTCATCATGTCTCTGTGGCTTAGGGTTTAGCGTTTAGAGTTTAGGGTTTAGGGTTTAGGGTTGCTAAGGCAAAAGCAGGCATCCAGGTACATGGGAGTCCGTATCTGTGCTACAGGCGGTGAGGAGCAAACACCTCAAACCTCGATCACTCACATCTGGCCCCTTGCAGAACATAAACAAAGATACTGAAACCATACCTTCGGTAGCTGCGGAAGCTGCAGCAGCGATTAAGCCGAAGTTTGCAAACAGGTTCCTGAAAAAGGAACTGCACTGAAATCCCCTCTCGCCCTCTGAAGGATTCAGTGGGCGTAGCTCAACACCAAACCCTGAGCCGCCCAATATCCGGAACCCCTCAAACTCCCACCGCCCCGTCGTCCAAAACGGCGGACACAGTGCCTATGTCAAGAGCGGCCATGGACCACAGAACCATGAAATAGTCCTGACTGTTGACCTGCGTCTTCGGATCACATAATTCGAACACCACATACCCCCCCCCCCAAACTGAAACGATTGAAGTTCTTACCCTAAACCCTAAACCCTAAACCCTAAACCCTAAACCCTAAACCCTAAACCCTAAACCTTAAACCCCAAACCCTAAATCATCCCTTCTAGGTTCGGTTTGGCCTTCGGAAACATGGTGATTTCCATGGGGAGGCTGCGCCGTTGGGCAAGAAATCGTGTGTTGAAAGGCATGGTGAGCTCCCTCTCTCTCTCTCTCTCTCCCTTTAGGGTTTAGGGTTTAGGGTTTAGGGTTTAGGGTTTCCTCCCTCTCCCTCTCTCTCTGTCTGTGTCCACACATACACATATGTATAATACATATATACATATATACACACAATGTAGCTACCGGCATTGCTTTGCTGCTTTGCGGAGCAATCTTGCTCACATGATCGTTCCCGATGCCCTGCTGAGGGCCGGGCTCGCCCTTGCAACGTTTAGGGTTTAGGGTGTAGGGTTTAGGGTTTAGGGTTTAGGGTTTAGGGTTTAGGGCTCTAGGAGTTTACGTCTTGCTTCGGGAGGTTGCAGCTCAGGGATACCGGTTGCATGCAACACCTCAAACCCAAAAAATATCCTGAGGGATTGATCCAAGTTGTGAGCCACTTAGATCCACCCACCCCAACTTGAGTCACATAGGTTGGTTTAGGGTTTAGGGTTTAGGGTTTAGGGTTTAGGGTTTAGGGTTTAGGGTTTAGGGTTTAGGGTTTAGGGCTTAGGGCTTAGGGTTTAAGGGTTTAAGGGTTTAAGGGTTTAAGGGTTTAAGGGTTTAAGGGTTTAAGGGTTTAAGGGTTTAAGGGTTTAAGGGTTTAAGGGTTTAAGGGTTTAAGGGTTTAAGGGTTTAAGGGTTTAAGGGTTTAGGGTCATCCATCCCCTGACATGGGCCTCCGACTCGTCGCTCACTTCAGGCCAAGCCTCTCAACGAAACTCAATGAGCCCAAAACCGGTTTAGGGTTTAGGGTTTAGGGTTTAGGGTTTAGGGTTTAGGGTTTAGGGTTTAGGGTTTAGGGTTTAGGGTTTAGGGTTTAGGGTTTAGGGTCTGTCACGTTACATACATGGTAGCTGGTCAACATGCCTCTTCCCAACATGACCCTACAAGTCCCCATCCCAATTCTATTTGGGTGCCCTTAAACCCAAAACCCAAAACCCCAAGATTAGGGCTCACCCAGGCAATACGGATGCTTTCCCTAAACCTAAACCCTAAACCCTAAACCCTAAACCCTAAACCCTAAACCCTAAACCCTAAACCCTAAACCCTAAACCCTAAACCCTAAACCCTAAACCCTAATTGCAAAGCAGCGCTTGGCCTAGCGGTCCGTTAAGGGGCCTCCTGGCTACGAGTACTTCGGACAACCAGCTTCCCAAACTCAATGAAATCCTAGACTCCCAAGCCACAGAAGATGTCGGGTTGAGGGTTCCGGGGTTTAGGGGTTTAGGGGTTCCATTGATTTAGGGTTTGGGGTGATGAACTTCCGAATCCTGAAGCTCCTGGGGTTCAGCACAGAGAGAACCTCTGATTTCTTTCAGAACGCCCCTCCCCGTCACCAGACATATCCGTCTCTCCTGCAAAAAACTACTCCCTTGACTCAGGAGTAACCTAGGGTTTAGGGTTTAGGGTTTAGGGTTTAGGGTTTAGGGTTTAGGGTTTAGGGTTTAGGTTAAAAGGGATGCCCTTTTTGTGTTTAAGGAGCTTAGAAGGGAACCCAGACCCTCAACAAAAGGGAATAAGAACCCGTTCTGGGTCCTACTTGGCGGTTCATGGTACTTATTAACCAAGTATAGCTGTAATCATAACCCACTTATAAGCCCTTTCAGTGCCCTTATAACTATACTTTTAACCATATTAAGGCACTTAAGGGGCTTACAAGCGGGTTATAAGTACAGTTATAATTGGTTAATAAGCACCATGAACCTCCAAGTCGCTCAGGTTCGGGCCATGCGCCGGACCACCGCGGGAAGCATCTGCAACACCTGGGCACTGCTTTTGCTGCGCGGCGCGCAGTCGAACGTTTTGTGTCTGCCGGCCAGATTGAAGAAGTACCGGGTTAAGGGTTTAGGGTTGAGGGTTTAGGGTTTGGGGCTTAGGGTATTTTGTGGGGTTTAGGCTAGATCTAGCATGGCTCTTAAAACTGTCTGAAAAATATATCCTGACTGTGAACCTCTTAAACCCAATAAGAAGTCATAACAAATGTCCCCAGGGCCTATCACCTAAACCCTAAACGCTAAACCCTAAACCCTAAACCCTAAACTGATAGAAACCTGCTGGATGCAGCTTCAATCTTCTGCAGAGCACGGGTTCAAGGTAAGGAGACCCTAAACCCTAAACCCTAAACCCCAAACCCTAATCCCTAAACCCTGAACCCTAAACCCTAGACTCTAACCCTAAACCCTAAACCCTAAACCCTAAACCCTAAACCCAAAACCCTAAACCCTAAACCCTAAACCCTAGACCCTAAACCCTAAACCCTAAACCCTAAACCCTAAACCCTAAACCCTAAACCCTAGACCCTAGACCCTAGACCCTAGACCCTAGACCCTAGACCCTAGACCCTAGACCCTAAACAAACCACTTCCCAGGCCCCTTATCAGCCGTGGGGCCGGTTCCGTCAAGCCGATCCGTGCGCAGGCCCACAAAATCCATCCGAGGTCCTGACCACGGGGACGTCTGTTAGGGTTTAGGGTTTAGGGTTTAGGGTTTAGGGTTTAGGGTTTAGGGTTTAGGGTTTAGGGTTTAGGGTTTAGGGTTTAGGGTTTAGGGTTTAGGGTTTAGGGTTTAGGGTTTAAGGTTTAAGGTTGCAGGAGAGAAAAAAAAGTCCAAGTTCTGTAGATCCTAGGCCTTACAACACCTCCAAAACCTGTGGCACCCGGCATAAGACGAACATGCACCCCCGAAGATTGCTGCATTGAGAGCTACCATTTAGGGTTTAGCATTTCGGGCTTAGGGTTTATGAAGGTCACCTGCAAGTGTACCCCATCCAGTACCCCGACCACCCAGCGCCCTGTGCACGAAACACAAACCTGTATGGAGGCTGAACTGTACCCTAACCCTAAACCCTAAACCCTAAACCCTGAACCCTAAACCCTAAACCCTAAACCCTAAACCCTAAACCCTAAACCCTAAACCCTAAACCCTAAACCCTAAACCCTAAACCCTAAACCCTAAACCCTAAACCCTAAACCCTAAACCTCACGAAGCCGAACAACAAAAACCTCTGCAAGCAGCTCAGCAAACAACTCCTCCGACCCTGCCTTGGCCCGAAAAGGCCGCGGATCTTCGCAGACACCTAGTTCATGGTTTTGGGTATTAAAAATGGAAAATTATGGTCCTTGTTGGGTTTAAGTACCCTTAAGGGTATCAAAAATGACAAAATTGTAGTCCTAATTGGGTTTAAGCACCCTTAAAAATCAAAAAATGTTACCAAATCCGAAGACCTAAAGCATAACCCTATATACCCTAAACCTTAAACCCTCAACCCTCAACCCTAAACCCAACTATGACAAAGACACGTTGGGCAGCCACGGAAAGCGCAAGGAGCATTGGCTCCGCGATGTGCTCGTCTTGAAGCGCCGGCAAGGCTTCCTTCGGAAGGCTTTGGAGGCTTTGGAGGGTACAGCAGGGGGTTTCTCCTGTGCAGCGCTTTGGGTCCTAAGCCCTAACCCTAAACCCTAAACCCTAAACCCTAACCCTAAACCCTATAAACTCTAAACCCTAAACCCTAAACCCTAAACCCTAAACTCATGCATGTATGCATTGGGCTTGGGCATGCTTGTAGGGTTGAGGCCTGAGGTCCTTAGGGCTTGTGCTAGCTGCAGGTAGCTGTGTTCCGTCCAAAGAGCACCCTTACATGGGCTAGGGTTTAGGGCTGAGGGTTTAGGGCTTAGGCACTGAAGGCTTCGGGGTTCAGGAGGCGTGAGCGGACGGAGAGCCGAGAGGACATCCTCTTGGCACATGGACCCACTCAACCTAGCACTAGGGATTTAGGATTGAATCCCCTTGGCTGAAGCCCTTTAACCCTAAACCTGAAAGCTTCTGGATGCCCTTGTTCGCTCAAAGGGGCTTAGAAGGCAACCCAACTCCTGTAAAAAGGGGCTATGGGCCTACTCTGGGTTCAAGGGAACCTCAACCCTAAACCCTAAACCCTAAACCCTAAACCCCTAAACCCCTAACCCGCAAACCCGCAAACCCCTAAACCCTAAACCCTAAACCCTAAACCCTAAACCCTAAACCCTAAACCCTAAACCCTAAACCCTAAACCCTAAACCCTAAACCCTAAACCCTAAACCCTAAACCCTAAACCCTAAACCCTTGAACCCCAAACCCTTTCGGGATGACAGGGCTGGGTCCTGTCTCAGCACCTGGCCATCCGGCGTAAAGGCCTCCCGGGTCACAGGGGTTTCAGGGTTTCCGCGGGACTGAGCCCCCGAAACCCTAAACCCTAAACCCTAAACCCTACACCCTAAACCCTAAACCCTAAACCCTAAACCCTAAACCCTAAACCCTAAACCCTAAACCCTAAACCCTAAACCCTAAGCCCTGAACTTTGAAAAGCTGCACCAAGCATGCGACCAAGGGGGGGGCTCAGGATGCCAAGTCGCCCTCAACCCAATTTTTTTTCTGGGGTTTAGGGTTTAGGGTTTAGGGTTTAGGGTTTAGGGTTTAGGGTTTAGGGTTTAGGGTTTAGGGTTTAGGGTTTGGAGTAGACCCTGGACAAAAAGTATATACTTTTTAGGTATAATTAGCTATAGTAGGAGCCCAAGACCAAAAAACAAGTATTAAAGTATAGTACTCCAAGACACAGCATTTTTGTTTGCATTTAGGTGGTTGCAGTACAGCGCGTAGGGTTTTATGAGGTTTGCTTAGGGTTTAGGGTCTAGGGGTTAGGGTTCAGGGTTTAGAGCTTAGGGTTTATATGTGGTTTGCTTAGGGTTTCGGGTTTAGGGGTTAGGGTTCAGGGTTTAGAGTTTACGAGGTTTATAGGGTTTAGGGTTACGAGCTGCGAGGTTTCTAGGGTTTGGGGTTTGGGGGCATGACTCCGGCAGGGGCGGTTGCTCTGTGAATTGCACCAGTCATGTCGTGTTGGCGTGTGATCATGTTCCTGTTGAGGAAGAGCAACCGAACATGGTGGACAGAAAGCTGCTTCATAAACCTTTGGTCCTAGAACTTATGCGGCTTGGCCGACCCTATGTTCCGGAGAGACCGTTTTGCAAACGGAGGTGGGGAACAATCAGGGAGGGGAAGGTACTTCATTCAGGGGCTTTGATGTTGAGAATTGGCGAGGCACGTCCTTGAACGCAGCGCGGCTTGCTTGCACAGCATCGGAACGATTCTTGTTCGCTCTGAAGGAACCATACAAAGAGGGCATCTTCCCGTGTTACAGGGCTGAGGGTTCAAACGAACTGCCATGATCTTCAAAACTCGTTTAGGGTTTAGGGTTTAGGGTTTAGGGTTTAGGGTTTAGGGTTTAGGGTTTAGGGTTTAGGGTTTAGGGTTTAGGGTTTAGGGTCAAGAGCAGGCCTTCGCCAGCGCCCACGCCACACTGGCCAGGTGGTAATGCGACATGTGCCAGAGGCGCCCACCTTGCGTCAGGTGGCCCAAGGGTTTAGGGTTTAGGGTATTTAGGGTTTAGGGTATTTAGGGTTTAGGGCGCAACTCAAGTAGAGTGTGGGCATGAACCTCAAAAGCAGTTCGTTTGGCTAGGCGACACTCCGTCCACAATAGGGCAGGATGGCCCCGTAAAACCCTCTGAAAAAAAACTCCTTAGAGCCTTAGTTGTCCAGTAACCTGGGGGAATTCAAGCTTAACCTTTGGGATTCTAAGGGGATTGTACTACCCAAAAAAGATTAAAAGGATACCTACTGACTCTTACTCTTTACTACTCGGATTCCTAAGGATGATCCTCTTGAACCCGCAAAAAGGGGGAAATATCAAATCTCCCAAGGGCAGACCGAATTGCAGCCAAACGCCTTTAACTTCAACTTGGTAGCCCAGTTGCCATCTTCTAGATAAGGGTTTAGGGTTTAGGGTTTAGAGTTTAGGGTTTGGTTACTTTATAAGGGAACCTTGAACCAAAACAGGGAAAAGGGTACCACTGGGCTACCAAGTCAACAGCAAGGCGCCGCGTCGGCCCTCCTTCGCAACGTGTAGCATGAACTGCCTCAAGCTGCGGCTTCCGCGTTCTGTGTCAGGGCATCCTAAGCCCGAAACCCTAAAGCCTAAACCCTAAACCCTAAACCCCAAACCCCAGTAAGACTTTGGGTTTCAGGGAGCTTCATCTTGCCATACACACACAGACACCAAGCTCCTGCACGCAGAATGCTTATCACACCTACACACTTTTCCGCCGAAGTGAGGCATCAGTTTCGAAGCTGGTCGCGGGTCTGTCTCCCCCGTCATTCAAGGGTTATGCAGTGAAGGGTATATGGCATGTAGGGTCTAGGGTGTAGGGTTTAGGGTGTAGGGTTTAGGGCTTCGGGTTTAAATAGGGTTGCATGTCGTAGGTTTTAGGACAGAAGTTACCCTGGGGCGAGTTTGGCTTAGGGCTCATCGTATGGGGCCTGTGTTTAGGCCGCTTAGCTCTAGGGTCTAAAACCAACCGCGGGCAGGAGGGGGCAAAGCTTGCCCGAGCCTCGTCCTCTCGGTTTGGACCTGGTGGGGCATTCCCTAAACCCTAAAATGTTCAGAGACGAACTCTGGGTCTTTGGGGCAACAAACATACTCTTTGTGAAGTTCACGCCGGACTCTTCGTGGAGCTTCCACAAAAGGGTGTAGGGTTTAGGGTTTAGGGTGGCCTGCGCGCCCCCGCAAGTGCGCCCCAGGTCGAAAACACACATTCGAAACCGTCCATAAAGCTAAGAAAAATGTTCACATGGGTCCGGACTTAGAAGTATCTCATGATTTCTTTATGTGCCTTTATTTCCCTCAGCAAATTTAACCATGGGTGCCAGAACGCCCATTAAGATTAGAGTTTAGGGGTTCGGGCCCCTTCAGCCCTTGCACCCTAAAGCCTGAACCCCTGAACCCTTCAACCTGACACATACGAGTTGAGCAACTTAAACAGGCAATGAAGACGCTGCAGACCGACAACTCGGGTTAAGGGCTCAGGTTTTTAAATGTTTAAAAATTAGGGTCTAGCTTGAACTTGGCGATAAGAAGAAACCCTAAACCCTAAACCCTAAAGCCCGAAGAGCCCGCGGAGTGGTTGTTCGTGGCAAGGGGGGGGTGGTTCTTTTGTAGTCGAAGTTCATGCTTTGCTTCCTAAACTCTACACCCTAAACTCCCAGCCCCCCCATTCGCGAATACCCCCCTTCTACCCCCCCTAATGCCCCCCCCTCGGCCCGAACATCTGCGCCTCAATCTTTGCGAAAGTCCACAGCAGGCCGCAAATGTGCTGGTCAAGAACTGCGGCATTCCTTGGTGGGTTATGGTCTTGAACCTTATGGAAGATTCCTAAAGATTAAAAACAGAGTCTCAAACCCTAAGCCCTACACCCTAAACCATGAGAACCCTAAACCCGAAACCCGAAACACTAAACCCCAAGAACCCAAAGCCCAACAAAGGGAAACAAAAACAAACATTCCCAAGGTCCCCCCCTACCGAGATTCTTTGTCCGCAGCATCACCAGCCCTGCTGTTGGTTGGATGGGTGATGAAGGCTGCTGGTTAGGGTTTAGGGTTTAGGGTTTAGGGCTTAGGGCTTAGGGCTTCGGGTTTAGGGTTTAGGGTTTAAGGTCTAGGTCTAGGGTCTAGGGTCTAGGGTTTAGGGTTCAAAGTGATATTATGGTTCAATTAGGGTTTGGGGCTTAGGGTTCAGGGTTTAGGGTTTGGGGTCTGGGGCTTGGGGTTATGGCTAGTGTGAAGAAAGCTGCGCGGCAGCATGTGGGGGAGGGGGTTCCTTTCTATCTAAGGCTTTTTGTTGCCGAAAGGGGCCCCCGAATTTAGAACAGCCTGAACCTTGAAATGGTTGTAGCCGACTCAATGCATTCACCATTGGTCTGCGCATTTATGTTTATGCCTTGGGATGCTCCCCCTTATACTAACAGTCCTCAATAGGGATTCTAGTACCCCCTATGATAATCCCGATTAACCATGTATGCCACGACTGCCACGAAGCTGCCACGCCCAACATCCATGGCATGAAACGACCAGGATCGAGGTTAAGGCGAACGACATGGGCATTTACCAAAATGAACCTCCTCAACCCTAAACCGCTAAAACTCTGGTTTAGGGTTGAAGGGGCCCTAAAATCATCACAGGGATATTGGGACCATGGAAGGATAAGCACATGGCACCTTCGCAAGTCTTGAGAGACATCCTACAATCCTACAAACGGTTTTGGTGATCCGATGGTCGAAAAGTGTTCGGATCATGTCCCGAGTTGTCCGCGCCCATCTGTTCTCATTCGGCAATAAAGGGTGTATGCGCTCAGAGACTTCATGGTTGCCTACGTCTCAGCCGCCCCATAGATACCCGATGCTATCGAGGGATCGTAGGGTTCATTAATCGAAAGGACCCCCCTTAAAGAATAGCCCAAAACCCTGAAGAATAGACCCCAAACCCAACACTTCCTCAAAGTCCTAAAGCCTGAAAGGCACTGACCTACCCCGACCTTTCTTTGTAGTTCTTCTTGGGGGGGCACCGTACCAGTCACTCGTCAAAAATTGAGGTACCTCTAGGCGGAACAAGAGACCATATTTCGCGTTTTGTGGGGCTTCCAGGTAATCCTGATTGACACCTAAACCCAAAACCCAAAACCCTAAACCCTAAACCCTAAACTCTAAACCCTAAACCCCTAAACTTCGACTCCTTAGGCCCCCGATATGCCCAACCCTTACCTGCACCCTTCGTCTTAGATCCTTTATTGGGCTAGTGTCAGAACCGTACGGAAATTAACCAGGTACCCAGTGAAAGGCGCACTAAGCCACTAAGCCTTGCCTAGAGTAGCCTTTATACCTGTTAAACGGAACACACACACACACACAAACTTCAGGTATAAGTGGCCATGTCTCTAAAATGTGATCCTTTTTGGGGTCCTCATTATAAGACGGCCCCCCCATTAATAGGGTACCCAAACAGGGACCCTTATTATAGAGGACTGACCATTTTTTTCTTTTTAGCAAGTGCAGGTCCCTCTCGGCAAGCCCACTTAGACTTATACCCTAAACCCTAAACCCTAAATCCTAAACCCTAAACCCTGAACCCTGAACCCTGTGGCCTGCCGTCGCCATCGCGTCATAGAAGCGGCTCCCGTCCGCCAGGCCAACGCGGCAAGCGCCCCAGGCGCAGTTCGCCAACATCCTGGGGACTCAGGAGTAGGGTTCAGGGTTCAGGGTTCGGGGTTTAGGGTTTAGGGTTTAGGGTGTAGGGTTTAGGGTTTAGGGTTTAGGGTTTAGGGTTTAGGGTTTAGGGTTTAGGGTTTAGGGTTTAGGGTTTAGTGTGTAGGGTGCAGGGTTTAGGGTTTAGCAGCAATGTCACACCACGATGCCAAGCGCAAGGAGCTTCAATGAAGCTGGGAATCACAGCTGACACGACGCGGACTCACCTCATACCCAGCAAACTTTGCCTCCTCAACCGCTTCATCTGGTGACTTGTCTAAACTATGGCCCCTTTTGGTGCTACTTGTATAAGGCGGTCCCCTCTTATTTAGGGTACCCCCAAAAAGGGGCCATAAATACAGAAGACTCACCTTCTGAACCAAGCCTCTCTTCAGCACATCCGCATGAGCATGCTGACCCTACTTTGGAGCAGACCCTGGGAACAAAGTATATACTTTTTGGGTAAAAAGTAGCTTTAAAAAAAACAGAACCAACAACAAGTATTAAAGTATGGTACTCCAAAACCCTAAACCCTCAACCCTCTACCCTCTACCCTCAACCCTCAACCCTAAACCCTAAACCCTAGTACTCCAAAACCCAGCTGAAGGTTGAGGCCATGCGGCTGCGCGTTCATCGCCGAAGCCAGGAGGATCGCGACCTCTGCTAACCTGATCTCTTTAAACCGGGGCTGATCTTTAGGGTTTAGGGTTTAGGGTTTAGGGTTTAGGGTTTAGGGCTTGGGGTCAAGAGGCCCTGAACTCTTCGCAGCTCTAACGAGCGTGTACGTAGCCGCGAAATCCTCCAGGCGGATGCATCTACGTCGAACCCACACTGCAGCGATTGCAGCGCTTCTGAAAGCCCTGCCGTGAGTGAGGTTTGGGAGTAAGGATTAGGGATTAGGGATTAGGGTTTAGGGGTTAGGGTCTAGGGTTTCGGGTTTACTGTTGCGGGTTTACGGTTTAGGGCTTTTGGGCCAGGGGGATTTGGAGTTCCGGTTCACGTGTGAAAGCTAGCAGCTTGGGGGATGCTCCGTACCGGTAGTAGCCTTCAGAGCGATAAGGGTAGCAATCGTACTTCAAGAAAAAACAGCAAAGACCTAAAACCCCCTAAAACCCCCCTAAAACAAAAACATAACTAAACTAAAACACCCCTTTGAAAAAAAAAAAAAAAAAAAAAAAACTATAGCCTTAAAACATAACCTGAACCCTACATCCCGAGCTCGAATTCTTGAGCTGACCTGAGCGCAGAGCTCCTTGGCAAACTGCTGCAACTCGGGCTTTTGGTGCCTGGGGATGCACCAAAAAAGGGTTAGGGTTTAGGGTTTAGGGTTCAGGGTTTAGGGTTTAGGGTATTTAGGGTTTAGGGTCTAGCAGCATTTGATCACCCATATTCCTTGCATTTTCATCACCTCTCTTGCATGTCAGCTAAAGTAGACCCGGCAGTAACCTAGGAATTAAAAGGGTACCCATTTTTTGGGTTTAAGGGGATTATAAGGGAACCCCAACCCTAAAAAAAGGGGAAAAAAGGGCCTACTGCCAGTCCTAGTAAAAGACCCTTTTCCAGCCACTGGCATGCCCTGTGCTCCGAATTTCCCAGAAAGAGCTCGGACCTTTGGCACTCTTGGACATCTCTACTGGGCGCCTCTTGCAGCACATGCCTACAGAACCTTAAACCCTAAACCCTAAACCCTAAACCCTAAACCCTAAACCCTAAACCCTAAACCCTAAACCCTAAACCCTAAACCCTAAACCCGCAAGTCCCTCTAAACCCCGGTACTGAAGACGGACCAAGGTGACCAAGGCGCAACTGCTCTGAGATGCCCAAAGACCACAGGGAGACCTGGGCTTGAAACGTTTAGGGTTTAGGGGGTTTAGGGGGTTTAGGGGGTTTAGGGGGTTTAGGGGGTTTAGGGGGTTTAGGGTTTAGGGTTTAGGGCTTAGGGTTGAGGGGCCCAGAAACAAGAATACCCTGAACTCTAAACTCACGAGGCCGCAAACTCAGAAATGCAGCGGCCCCGAAGGTCTCTTTCTGGGGCCCTATTCCCTGAATGCGCAGCCTAAACTGGCTTCTCGTCAAGACGTAGTGTGAAACCCTAAACCCGCTGGGCCTCAAGGCCGCACAATCTAGGGTTGCTATTCAAGAACTTCAATTTGGGGGTGTCTACGAAAATAAGGGACCATTGATATAGAGCCTCAAACAGTAGGATCCCCTCATAATAAGGACCCCAACAAGGTACCCCCTAATTTCGGAAACTCCCATCCAAGTTTCCAGCCTGGGGCTATAGCGAACACTAGTAGTGTTTAGGGTTTGGGCTTTAGTGTCAAGGGTTCTGGTGACCTAGCTTCAGTTCTCCTTCATAGCTGTGTGGTGTGTGTGTGTGTGTGTGTGTGTTTGTAAGATATTTTCCCTTCAATGTCCTCTTGGGCCGCTGGCCGTTTCTTGACGCTGACCTTCTCTGATGGACGTGCGGGCGGCGGCGTAGCATTCGGCTCCACCGATGCCGATGCCGGCTCTGGCTCTTCTTGTGCTCTTGGCTTCTGATAGTGGAAAAGTGCGTCGCCCCACCTTTCCCGAAGAACGAGAAGAGTCCGCAAGTCTTGCGGCATGATGGTCTGGCGAGAGCAATTGTCAGCCAGCAAAGCCATATCCGCCATGATCGCTTCGGCAGAAGCTTCGAGAGCCACCTGCAAAACCAGAATGGCTTCGCTCCCAAGCCTGGACACCACTTCCACCCCGTCAGAGTTCTGCAAGACCTGGAAGAACGTAGGCTTGAGTGCTAGTATTAGGTACCGTAAACCCTAAAGCCCAAACCCTAAGCCCTAAACTCTTTCAGAGATGATCCTGTGGTATAGGAAACCTGGATCCCACATTCCCCAAGCCTGAGCACTTGTAAGTTTTTAGGGCTTGGGGAACAGGAAGGCTAAGTCCCTCGCAGGCCCGAAAGCCCCCCTAAAGCTCGGGTGCTATTTCGAACATGCTATCGCCTTTTGTATATGGGATTAGGCCCATGGCCCCTTTTCTTGCAGGTGTAGTACATGAACCTCAGTAAACTCTTGACCCGCCAAAGTTTGGTAGGGCCATCCCACAACCAAAGCTCGAATACGTAAGCAATTTTGCGGCTTCGGGTTTAGGGTTTAGGCTTTGGGGTTTAAAGGTTTAGGGAAGAATTCACCATGATTTCCAATTGACGTTTTGGGTTTAGAGTCTAGGGAGAAGGGCTTCCAGGTCTGTGACGCCGTTGCAGTCGTGTTTCTTTTGTTTGTGGCTTTCTGTTTGCCGGTTTTCTGGGTTGCGTGTCCACGTTGCTGCACTCAATGAGCCTTCAATCTTGTCTTGCATGGGAAGAACACTACAATCATGGAATTCCTAAGGTTTTGGGCATTGGGCTTCGGGCATAGTTTTGTGGTGTCGGGGTTAAGCGTGCAGCAAACCCAGAGGATCTTATTTTGCACTGATAAACGCTAAGCCTTAAACCCTAACTAAGTGGTTTAGGGTTTAGGGTTTGGGGTTTAGGGTTTAGGGCTTGGGGGTCCTCTACATTATCGTCCTGTCTGGGAACCCTTAATGCCTGGATTGCAGGCTCGGGACCAGGGTTAACGTTTTCAGGGTTTAGGCTTAAATAACATAAGAGCCCGGACGACAATAGGTAACCCTAAAACGACTCGTTTCGGGAAACTGCCCACGATTAGTTCTAACTGGGGATACTACTAGTGGTTCTGGCCTTCATTTTTTGGTTCCGGGGGGACTTCTAACCTACAGTAATCTAGGCCCAAGAGTAACCTGGGAACAAGAACGGTGCCCTGTTGGGGTTAGAAGGGGTTTATAAGAGAACCTAAACAGCTCCCAAAAGGAATAAGGGCCCTACTCTGGGTCCTAATACCCCAAACCCTAAACCCTAAACCCTAAACCCTGAGACTTTAGCTGCGTGCGGGTGGCCGAGATCGAATGGCACTCGAACGTCGAGGCTTGACCCAAGCCACAGGTCGCAAGCGAGGCGACCAACGGCAGCAGATCTGCGAGGGGAGTTTGAACCCTATACGTCCTAAGCGCAAGCACGCAGGTCATTCCCCTTCTCTGCCCAGAGATGACACATCGGTGTCTCTGAACCAACCAACCAACCTAAACCCTAAACTCCCTAAACCCCCTAAACCCTAAACCCTAAACCCTAAACCCCAAACCCCAAACCCTAAACCCTAAACCCCGAGCTACCGCGTCTCACGTCCAGCCCCGCCTTCTGCGCCGTGTTCTGCCAACTTGGCAGCCGCCCACAGCGACTGCGTGAGGTTGACACCCTCCAGCTGACGTCCTGAGACAGGGTTTAGGGTTTCGGGTTTAGGGTTTGGGGTTTCGGGTTTAGGGTTTTAGGGTTTTCCAAGAAGGGCTGAGTGGCTAAGGCAGTTTCAAAGTTTTGCTTAGGAATTGGGAAACGGTTGATTTACAGTGCAAGGCGTTTAAGAATGTGCATAGGCCGTCTGGAGACGAAGTGAACATAAGTAAACCCTACACCCCTACACCCCTACACACCTAAACATCCCTACACCCTTACACCTCTACACCCTCTACCCTATCATGGCTGCACCAGGGCCCACATCTTGCACGTATGGAGTCGGTGGCGGCATGGACAGGGCAAGGCTACCATAAGTTACTGGCCTCGAGAAACCTCCGCTCCTTTCTCTAAGGGTGGTTATATGTCCCCTTAATACGGCCCCTTGCCTTCTTTAAGGGATTTTGAAGTATGGGCCCTTGGTTGTATAGGGTATATAAGGCATATAAAGGGCCCCCTAGTTCAGGACCATGAAATGAACCTAAGATTTTAGCTGCGCTCCGGCTCATGTCACGCGTTTAGGGTCGAGGCGTCCTCTATAAAGGGTGTATTCTATACTGAACTTGGAACCGAAGCAACAAATATAGTTCTAGCTGCTTCTTAGGAATTCTAGTACCCCCACAAAAAAACCTTAAACCCAAATCCCCAAACCCTAAACCCCAAGAATCCCTAAGTCACTTGGTCATTTGGCTGCTCCCGAAGTGCCAACCAAAATCAGCCGAAGCTCCATCCGCCAAGGTCTTCAAGGGCAGCAGCAGCGACTGCTGCAGCTGGTGCCGCCCTGGTCCCCTGGCTTGGAAGCAGGGTTTAGGGTTTAGGGTTTAGGGTTTGGGGTTTGGGGTTTGGGGTCTAGGGTTTAGGGTTTAGGGTAACAACGCGCACTGCGCTTTCCATTAAAAAAAAACGCCTGGAATTCCAGCGGGCTAAACTGTTCCTGCACCCTAAGTCCTAAACCCTAACCCCCAAACTGCAGCAGGGGTGGCCTGTTTGATTGGGCCTTCAAGTGTCCTGCTTCCGAACATATCTAGACCCAGGAGTAACCTAGGAATAAAAAGGGTGCCCTTTTTGGTTTTAAGGGGAGTACAAGGGAACCCCAACCATAAAAGAGGAAATAAGGGCCTACTCCAGGTCCTATAGATATAGAGCTTTGCTAGGGCCCAAGTATGTACCAGACAGGTACGTGGAGGCAGTGCGTGCACCGAGCCTCCATTTCCGAGATCCCCAAGTTCAAGATTACCGGGTCCCCCGCCCCACCTCCCCCCAAACCCGAATTTAGGGTTCAGGGTTTAGGGTCTAGGGTTTACTGCGACCTGGACAGGACAATCAGGGTGCCCCTCTTTGGGGGTTCCAAAAATCGATTGTCTACATTCGGGTCCTTTTGGGGTTGCTTTTAAATACAAGGCAGCCTAACAGTTCGGGTACTCAAAAGGGACCTGAATTTAGAGAACTCACCATATAGCATTTGGGGGCATATCAAGGGCTACCCCCATGCTGGGAGAGAGGGTTTAGGGTTTAAGGTTTAGGGTTTAGGGATGTCTAGGGTTTAGGGTTTGAGGGCCTAGGTTTAGGATGACATAAGGTTGAGAGCCCATGGAACAAACCTCAATACCCAGGCTGCTGTGGCCTCACCAGAAACCTAAGATGAACATCAAAAGCCCTAAGCCCTAAACCCTAAACCCTAAAACCCCAAAACCCTAAATTATGTGGGGGTTAAGGACCAAGTTGAGGATTTGCGGGCTTTGGAGTTTGGGACTCCCAGCTCATGGTCCGGTCGCCGCAGGGGCCATTCAACAGCTTGCTGACTATGGTCTGGGGTGTAACGGGTAGCCCTAAACCCTAAACCCTAAACCCTAAACCCTAAACCCTAAACCCTAAACCCTAAAGACAAACTTACACAACTGTGCCTGAATCCAGCATCCGCAACCAGCACCGCCAGGGCCCAAAGCGCGGTCGAAAGGTCACGAGCCGTGAGCTTTGGCCTGTAGGGTTTAGGGCTTAGGGCTTAGGGCTTAGGATTTAGGGCTTAGGGTTTGGGGTTTAGGGCTGCAGGGTTTAGGGTTCACGGCTTGGGGTTTACAAGTTGGGACCCTAAACCCCAAACGCTAAACCCTGGTACTCGTTGCTTGTTGGGTTGGTGGTTCTGCTGGCTGGAAGTCATGTAGAGTAGAGGCAAAGTAGTGCTGCGATTTGTGGGCCGCTGGCTGGGCGGGCCTTGAACGTAGACGCCCGTCGGCTGAGGGTCTTGGGTACTGTACACATAAAGGTGTAATCGTATGGATGATATACCTATATTGCTTACTAGACCCAGGAGTAACCTAGGAAAAAGGGTAGCCCTTTTGGGTTCAAGGGGATTATAAGGGAACCCCAAAGCTACAAACAGGAAAAAAGGGCCTACTCCTGGTCCTAGCTTCTCTGCATGTGTGCGACAGTGTGGTTTAGGAATACTGCAGGACACTGCCTAAACCCTGAACCCTAAACCCTAAGAAAGTTTAGGAATGCCCGGATCCCGGACAGCGACGGACACCCCTACCCAGAGAGTGAGAGAGGGAGGCAGAGTCCCAGGGCCCCTGGCTGCATGATGGGCGAAGGACGGGAAACCCTAAACCCTAAATCCTAAACCCTAAACCCTAAGCCCTAAACCCTAAATCCTAAACCCTAAACCCTAAACCCGAAACCCGAAACCCTAAACCCTGTAAGCCCTAACCATCCGGCCGAGACGCACAGAGGCCACAACTCTCTGGCAGGCACCTTGCGTTAGCTGCCCGAACCTGGATTCTTGTGTGGAGGGTTACGAAAATGGGGTTTAGGGTTTAGGGTTTAGGGTTTAGGGTTTAGGGTTTAGGGTCTAGGGTGGCCCTACTACTTGGGGGACTATATTAAGGGGTCGCTAATTTTCGTAAACCCCCCCATGTAGGTTTTAGGGTTTAGGGTTAAGGGTTTAGAGGTTTGCGGTTTAGGGTTTCGAGTTTCTTTGAAGTGCCGGCCAGTATGCTCCCTTTGCAAGATAAAAAGGCTGCGATCAGAAGCCTGATCACATATGGTGCAGTTGTAGTTCTACTACTTTCAATATGCACAGCAGAGGAGCTTCTAAGTACAAATCCATATCTCTGGCATGGGTGGATACAGCTTAGCCTAGAGACCCTGCTCAAATGTAGTTCCATTGAGATTGTTGCCTGCTGCCCTAGGAAACCCTAGGACCGAAAACCTAAGACTCAACTTCGCGCACACAAGAAGAACTGCATCGAAGTTGTAGCCTTGTCTTAATCTCTGTTCCCCTAGGAAGAAAAAAGGATCCTTTTTGCTTATATATAAGAAAGCCCATAACCCAAAAAGTAAAAAGGATCCCTAACACTGATCAAGTTTTAGGCAAGCCATGCGTCCTCAACCTGGAGCCCGACGAACTACGAGTAACAACTAGGTCATGGTGAATTTGATCTTCTGGGTTGTGGTTTTTTACACGCGGGAACCGCTGCAACCCATAAAACCTTACCAATTCACAAATCCCCAGCGGTAAGCCCTAAAGCCTGCAGCCTGATGAATCTAAACCCCAAAAAGAGGTCAAAATGAGCTCTGGACCCATGTAGAGCCTGAAGGTTTAGGGTTCAGGGTTTAGGGTATGAGGGTAGGGTTTAAGATTTGGGGTTTAGGGTTTTAGGCTTTAGGGTTTAAGGCTTCCGCGCAACCATCCTCAACATTCTGTTGGCCTGAGCTGTAAGCAAGGGACAAGAGATTCTCCAAATTAAGCTTGGTACTCAATGACCTAAATCCTAAACACTAAACCCTAGAACCTAAACCCTACACCCTAAACCCTAAATCCTAAACCCTAAACGATACACCCTAAACCCTAAACCCTAAACCCTAAACCCTAAACCCTAAACCCTAAACCCTAAACCCTAAACCCTAAACCCTAGACCCTAGACCCTAAACCCTAAACCCTAACCCTGACCTCTCAACTTAAAACCCTAAACCCTAAGCCCTACACCATTGCGACCTCGAAGCGGCTCGCGAGCCGTTAGCTTGGCCAGCGACCTTGATCCCAACACCGACTCGGAGGGGGGGCGGGGGTGTAGGGTTTAGGGTTTAGGGTTTAGGGTTTAGGGTTTAGGGTTTAGGGTTTAGGGTTTAGGGTTTAGGGTGGAAGCAAATACTGTAAGGTCAAGGGTTAGGGTTGAGGGTTTAGGGTTGAGGGTTTAGGGGTTGAAGGGTGTAAAGGTTAAAGGGCTTAAGGGTTTTGATGGTATTAAGGGTGTTAGGTTTTTAGGGTTTTGGGAGCTTTAGGGTTTGAGGTTTAGGGTTAAATATGGGTGTTTAGCTTGGGACAGTAGGGTGTAGGGTTTATGGCTTGCCCAAGCGTGGTGAGTGCACTGAAATCCTACAGGCGTTCTGGTATCTGCTGCACCCCTCGCGCCTGCAGTCTTACATATCCTGCGCCCTAGATTCTTAGATCGGGTATAACGTGCCCGGGTTCAGAGCGAACGGCAGGACTCTCACGATCAGGGAGGCAACCCTTGCTCGGCAAGGCCCCGACTCTAAACCCTAAACCCTAAACCCTAAACCCTAAACCCTAAACCCTTTACCCTTAACCCTTAACCCTTAAACCCAAACTCCCACACCCTAAATTCAACACAAACTCCCTGAACGCCACTCCAGGTCGCCGGCCAAAGAAGGTTGGCCACGGCTAGGGGTGGTAGATCCTCCGTTTTTTCGTGGGGGGGTTTGAGAGGGGTTTGGGTTTAGGAGTCTCTTTTTGTCAGTGTGTGATGTTTGAAAGCGCGTGCAGCTGCTTCTGTTGAACCCTGAACCTCGAACCCCCAACCCTTACCCCCCCAACCCCCGAATCCCTCCCCCCCCCCCCGCCCCCAAACCCCCCTGCATTCTTCCCGAAAATCTCTCTAGGATTGGGTTCTCGTTTGGCGCTTCAACGCGGAAGGCATTCTATATCGGATCGCTTTCTGAGGAAAGAGGCCACGGAGTGTCGGACGGAATGAATTTTGACGGGAGGCCATGGAGACGACACGGTCAAGGGAGGGGGGTGCATGCATCATGCATGGATGCGCGTTTGACGGACGGGTTCGGGGGGGGTGAGGACAAGGAGGGGGAGCGCGGACGGGGAGCGCGACATTCGGTTGATGGGCAAGGTGATGTTGGCTTGCGCAAGATCTTGCTCGGTCATCAGGCCTCTCTTGTCTTTCGCTCTGCCTTTGACCAAATCATGGGGCTGCGTCGGCTGTGCTCCTCTGCCTGCGTGGAACAGTGCATGGGCTCGTGTCGTCCGTGTTGGCATGAAGCGCCTTGGCTTCCTTCCTGCGCCTGGGCAGTGGACTTGGACTTCAGGGCCGCTTCGCGTTGCTTTGGGTCCTCAGAGGGCTCTGGTCCCTGTTGACAATGCCACTGCGCATGTGCTCCGTGAAGGCTGGCGTCGGATGTTGTTTCGATCCTGGCTTTGCAAAGCGCATCGTGATAGCAGGCTCTGTCGAGATGCTACCTACTCTGAATCGACGTGCAAAGATGTTCGCCAGGCGGCGCTCGCTGATAGGAATCACTTCACCATCCTCTGCGGTGCCGCCTTTTCCCGTGCCAAACGGCACCTCCATGATGATGGTGACGTCAGTTGTCCTTGGTGCAGTGCTGCGCTTGGACACTGGGATCATCTCTGCTGGGATTGCCCGGGGAATCCCCCGCCGCTTCCTAGGCCTAGGACCGTTCTTGCGTCTCGACTTGGTTGGGGCAACTCTAAGGCACTGGCGCACTTGTGTGCAACACGACTGAGGCTGCTGAAGCCTTCTTCCTCTCCTGGGATCGCTGAGGGTTTTGGCGGGCTTTCCGGGTTCTCTTGCCCTTGATGCTCGCTTGCGTTCGGTCGCTGCCCCTTCTCTTGTTCCCTCCTGGGCAGGGTTCGGGTCTTTTGGGAGCGCGCTGCTTCTCTTTTACTGTTCTGCTGTGTTGCTTGGCTTCGCTTCGACCTTAGGTCTAGTGTATGTCCTCTCCGGCAGGTCAGGTGCCTTGGCTCGCCGATCGTGCTCTGGCACGGTCGGTGCATCTAAGGACATGTTCCGAGTCTTCCCTGGCTTCCAGCGCGGTTGCCGGGCTCCGCCTGTCTTCATCTTGCGCTTGCGCTGGGTGGAGCTGGCGATTTCTTCTCTTCTCTCGGAAGTCGGGTGTCCGGCGGTATATGTGGACAAGACAAGGAAGGACTTCAGAGCGCGATGTATCCAGTTGAAGGGGTACAGTAGTAACCTTCCGCGACCTGCGCCCTCCGCGAGCTCCACGCGCTCCGCGCCCTCCGCGCGCTCCGTGCCCTCCGCGTGCTCCGCGCCCCTGACACACTATGCTGATGCTAAGGGTGCATTGCATCTATTCTGCGGGTGCGTTGCGCCTATTCTGTGTTTCCTGACTTGTTGACAAGCATAGCCTCTAAGTGCCCATCTTACCCCCCCCAACCCCCCCCCCCAACCCCGAACCCCCCGAACCCCCCCCCCCCCCCCCAAACGTAAAGCCTAGGAGGAGTTTCCAAGGCCTCCTGGTGGTCCAGGACGCTTTTCAGCCGCTTGGCGAGGTTTCCCTGGTTTAGGGTTTGGGGTTTAGGGTTTAGGCGTTTAGGGTTGGTGATGATGATGAAGAAGAAAATGATGATAATTGATGACGATGGTGATGACGAAGACGGAAACTCTTATTCCCACTATAGGAGTACATTTGCACTATTCCGATTACACTCTTATTCTACTAAGGACTACTGTTGTATCAGTTCTATCTCATGAATATGGGTGTGCTACTTTGATTGCTGTTGTCATTTTACTCTTACTACTTGTACGGAAAAAGATTCAGGGTTCAGGGCCTTCGGGCTTGAGTCGAGCGTCGCGGACACGGGTCCAGAAATTGCAGGAGCGCGAAGACAGCATCAGCGAAATGGAGGCTTTCCGAGAATTAAGGTAATGTATGTAGGGAGGGAGTATACTATGTTTGGGAGAGGTGCCTCTATTGTGGAAATTACCTACATCAATGGTAATTGGCCCGATTTGACACATCTTACTCAACTAGTACAACATTTGTTTACGTAGAACCTCTTAGGGCATCCTACCAGTGCCGCCCTCCCCCCCGCTGCCGGGTCTCTAAGCTACATACCAGATCCTGAATGGAATTCGAGGGCACTTAAACTGTCAATGTTGGGATGTTCCCCCTCACAATGACAGTCCTTAATTGGGATTTTATAATACACCCTAACATAGTCACTACTAAGAACCACACTGACAGTCCTTAATTGGGATTATAATCCGCCCCCCTAATATCATCACTACTAAGGAGCTGTTCGTATTAGGGGGAACATCCCAATGTCAATGCCTTACTACGAAGCAGCCTCGGCGGTCGCGGCATCAGCAGCCGGAGTGCGGACGCCCTCACCCCGTGATGGCCTTGCCCCTGCGACAATGAGCTTGGGGTAGCTATACTGAAGTTGGAACCCTAGCAAAATGACAATTTTAGCTGCGTTTTAAGCATTAAAGTACCAACAAAAATAAAAGTTAGCTGCTTCTTAGAAATTACAGTACCCAAAAGTTGAAAACTATTCCCAAGAATCCCTCAGGTTGAGGGTGTAGGGCGCCATTGGCCTGGGGGGTGGAGCATGTACCCCTTAGAGTAAAAAACACAGGAATCTTTTCCCCTTAGGTTTTTGTATAAACAAACACGAAACAAGATTAGTTCTTAATGGAAGTGCAAGTCCACAAGCCAAGGCCCACATTGCTAGTCCCTCGTCAACTTGACGAAAGGAAACCATAAAGTCATAAACCTTAAACGCCTTTACCAAGACTAGCCCATACACCCTGAAAAAGGCGAAATCGGAATATCAAGCATGTTTCCTGTACTTTGAAGGCATACGGGCTAATTACCCTCGGCAACACCCTAAACCTTAAACCCTAAACCCTATGCCCTAAACCCCTAAACCCTAAAAAAGCAAAGCCGCCGAAGGAGCACACGAGCCTTCGCGCACCTTTGAGGTGGCGCGGGCAGCGTCCAGGCGGGCCTTGGAGATTGGAGCGATTGTTGAAGGAGTGCTCCAGGGGCCTTAATAATTAGTTCGAATAAGGTTTTGGGGGTTGTGATCGTTTTACTTATGTCGGGACCATACTTAAGGGAATACTATTCGTATTTATTCCGGCCCCTATATTCATCTCATCCCCAAATGCTCCGCACCCATATCCGGTATTTTAATGACGATATTAGGGGCACCTTACTGTTGTTCTTCATATATGGGGGTCCTACTATTTGGGGGTCTATATTGGGGGGCGTCCCCTTATGATCGTACACCCACGTACTGCCCCTAGACTTCTTTAGGCATAAGTAGCTAAACTCGGAACCCAGAACCCAACAAAAAGTATTAAAGTAGAGTACTCCAAAACCAAGATTCATTGATTGCTTTAGGCCCAGGAGCCAATGCTGCCAGGGAGTTGGCGGCAGCCCGGGCGTCTAGCACGCGGCCATAGTCATTCAGAGCTTGGTACAGCGCCTGCCAGTTTCCAACAAACTTAGCTTTGGAGTAGACCCTGGAAAAATAGTATATACTTTTCAGGTATAATTAGCGATAATGGGAGCCCAAGACCAAAAACAAGTATTCAAGTATAGTACTCCAAGATCCAGTAAAAAGAAGAAATGGAGGAAGAGGATCCCTATCTCGTAGTCCCCAATAAAAGCCTGTAGTACAGTGTCTATATGCTTCACTCCCCCCCATGCGGCTAACATTATTCACTCCCCCCCGCGCCGCTGTTTTTAAAGCGCCGGGAAGTTGAGCTCTTTTTAGCCCAGTAGCCATCTTATAATAAGGGCACCCTTTTTTGGGTTGTGAATTTTATAAATAAGGGAACCCAAAACAAAAAAGCAAAAAGGGTAATGGGGTACCACTGGGCTACCAAGAGTTTGGGTTTAGGGACCTAGCGGGGCAAAAACCTTCCAGCAGAAATCGTTGAAGCTCATCGCCACAAGCGTAGCTTTGTTCATGAGGGTTCGAGGTTTTCTTACGATGCAAAGTTCTATGGGGTTCGGGATAGAAGCAGCAGCATCAGGCTTTCGGTCTTTAGGGCGTGGGATACACCAGGGGCGACGATCTGGAGTCGGGAACTTCACCTTCGTGTGCGAAAGCGTTCCTTCATACCCTAAACTCAAGAGTAGCCTGGGAATAAACAGAGTACCCTTTGTGGCTTAAAGGGGCTTAAGGCAACCCAAGCCCTGAAAAAGGGAATGAGGGCCTACCTACTCCCGGTCCTAGTACCTCCTTCCATGCAACCCGCTCTATAACACCCCCAAGCACGAAACCCAGGCACCCGCAAACCGTGAAGTCCGCTAGTCCACCCTCAACCCTATCAACAGTTCACCGCACGCTATCAGACGCTGAAATGCTGAAAGCCCTTCATCCTGGACGTACTTCTCCAACAACGAGCCGAACAAACAGCTTCAGCGTTTCTTGCTACAACAATGGAAGCCCAAGACCATCCCAAGACCTTAAACCCTAAACCCTAAACCCTAAACCCTAAACCCTAAACCCTAAACCCTAAACCCTAAACCCTAAACCCTAAACCCCCCTAAACCCTAAACCCTAAACCCCCCTAAACCCTAAACCCTAAACTCTAAATCCTAAGCCCCAAGGGTCGGCCCTTTAAAACTGTCTCAAGGGAAAACACAATGTCTCAAGCACCTGCCTCCAAAGCCTAAGGCTTGGAAGACTGCACCTCGTTGGGCCCTAAACCCTAAACCCTAAACCCTAAACCCTAAACCCTAAACCCTAAACCCTAAACCCTAAACCCCAAACCCTAAACCCTAAACCCTAAACCCTAAACCCAAGCCCCAAGCCCCAAGCCCCAAGCCCTAAACCCTAAGCTTTACACCCTAAACCACCTCTTTCCCGCCTCATGGCTCTTGGGGCGGCTCAGTTCTTCGATAGTCCCGCGGTTGGCGCGCCCGCGCGCGGCGTGGGTCCTCTGGAGGTTTCAGGGTTTAGGGTTTAGGGTTTAGGGTTTAGGGTTTAGGGGGGTTTAGGGTTTAGGGTTTATGTAGGTTCTGTAGGGCTCACATGTACTTATAAGTCCTCTTGATGATGGGTAGTTGGCGTATGAAAACTGAGCAAGAGAACCCTAACCCCTAAACCCTAAACCCTAAACCCTAAACCCTAAACCCTAAACCCTAAACCCTAAACCCTAAACCCTAAACCCTGAACCCTAAACCCTAAACCCTAAACCCTGAACCCTAAGTAGGAAATCGAGAGGAACTACATGCGAGTCTTCGGGCTGAGCTTGGGGGCTGAGTTCAGGGCTTTGAAGGGTCTAGAGGATCTGGGGCACCCAACACTCCCCAAGCTCCCGTTTAGGGTTTAGGGTTTAATTAGGGTTTAGGGTTTAGGGTTTAGGGTTTAGGGTTTAGGGTTTAGGGTTTAGGGTTTAGGGTTTAGGGTTTAGGGTTTAGGGTTTAGGGTTTAGGGTTTAATATCATACTGGCCCCGACATGACGAGTCCTCAGACGCCGTGCAAGTGCTGCTTTGCAAGCCCTCTACAAGAATCCCGTTTCCCCACCTTCGCCGCCCATCCCCTTTGAACAACAAAACAGAACCCAGAGGGTCCATTTGTAGCACCGTTATGGAATTAGGTACCCATTTCGTATGGTTTTTGGGTACCTAATTCCATAATGGTAATACAAAAGCCCTAAACCCTAAACCCTAAACCCTAAACCTTATAAGACAAATGGACCCTCTGGGGAAAGGCAACCACAGCACTCCGCAGCACAGCGTCCATATTTTGTACTAGAAGGGCTTTTGCAGAGAATCTGACAAAGTGACCTTTGCGCAGAGACTGCCTCTAAACACGTACTAGAGGCAAGTCACATGTGAAACCCTAAATCCCCTCAATCCCCTAAAACCCTAAAACCCTAAACCCCTAAACCCTAGACCCTAAAGCTCTTGAAAACCCTTACCCCCTGATCCTTAGATCTGGCAGAGTCCTGTCGGTGACGACCTGCAACTGACTGGAGACCTCCGGGCGCCATGGGTTTATTGTATGTAATACATATACATATATATATATATGTATCGAACATTGCGTGGAATATTTATTGTTGTTGTTGTTGTTGTTGTTGTTGTTGTTGTTGTTGTTGTTGTTGTTGTTGTTGTTGTTGTTGTTGTTGTTGTTGTTGTTGTTGTTGTTGTTGTTGTTGTTGTTGTTGTTGTTGTTGTTGTTGTTGTTGTTGTTGTTGTTTCTTTTTTTGTTCTGCTTTTTTGGGGGGTGTTCTCTACTATTTTCATGGCACACTCAAGCCACGCGCACGGGTGTTTGGCCAGATCGCACTAACAGCTACGCGTTTCGTCCTCTCGCGGGACTCGTTCAGGCTGGCGATCTGCACCCGCAAACATCTAACAGCAACACGCCTCACAAGCACGTGACCGCGTGCGAAGCGTTGAGACACTCAGCGACAGACATGACCTTGTGCGTCTAGCAATCAGAGCCCGACCCACCCGCCCATGCCCTGATGTACAAAGTTGGCAAATACGAAACATTCCTGGTCATGGATGCCAAGTGAGGTGAACGTTCCTCCGGAAATTGTTGGATTGCTCGACATCATCACGTCGACAGGTTCTACATTGCGGGTCCTTTTAAAATCCAACGTAATCGCTACGGTTTTGGATTACAGGCTGTCTGGGTCGATGGCTCAGGGCCTGTCAACAATGTGCGCTAGGCTTTGTGGAGCACAACGCATCAGAATTTTAACAATCACTTGGGGGGTGGGGGGGAGGGGTGGCTTCTGGTTCGAATTGATGCATCTTGGCAAGATGCTTGAACTGTCGTGAACAACTGCAGATGACTTGTCAAAAGTGCCAAGGAAACCCAAGCGTCACAGCAGCCCTGGTTGTTTAGCGGGTTTAGGGTTTAGAGCTTGGGGTTTAGGGTGTCCGCTGTGGGGGATTTAAGGGCATAGCCCAATTTCAGGAGGTCCCTAAGCACAAACGCCTCAAGGCAAAGCCGAGACCCGAAACCTGAAATCCCAAGCTGGGAGACCCCAGAAACCCCAAAGCCCTGAACCCAAAACCATGACTTAGGGTTTAGGGTTTGGGGTATCATCATCTAGGATGGCCCTTAAACCCTTTGAAAAATATTCCTGAATTAGGATCCTCTTAAACCAAATAAGGGAAAATATGAAAAAATCTCCCAAGGGCCTACCCAGTCATATGAACCCCAACACAAAACAAAGCACCACCTAGGTTGCCCAGTAAGCTAGGATTAAAAAGGGTGCCCCTTTTTTGCTTAAAGGGGTGTATAGGGGAACCTAGAGCCCCCAAAAAGGGTTAAGGGCACTACTGGGCATCCTCTGAGACTCTGCGAATGTCCTTTGGCCTCCAACCACTCACCCTAAACCCTAAACCCTAAACCCTAAACCCTAAACCCTAAACCCTAAACCCTAAACCCTAAACCCTAAACCCTAAACCCTAAACCCTAAACCCTAGCCCTAAACCCTAAACAAAACTGAAGAAGCAGAGCACAGAGCGGTCGCCACCTTGCGCAGGACGAGTCTGCAATGGCCCACCGACCAGGGCTGCCCTTGGTGCCCCAATGGTCGGGTATGTAGGGGTAGGGTTTAGGGTTTAGGGTTTAGGGTTTAGGGTTTAGGGTTTAGGGTTTAGGGTTTAGGGCTTCGGGCTTAAAGTTTAGGCTTTTCTGATCGCTTGCAACAACTCATACTAGGCAAAACCACACAAACGAGAGCTTTCTGTGACGGCGACTTTGTTTTGGGGCTGAGGGCGTTGATAGGGTGTGTGACATACACTGCAGGCTTACACCCTACACTGTATGCCATTGACCCAACTTGCCTTTAGAGGCTTGTCCAGTTCAACCCATGAAAGAAAAAAGGAGTGCCAGGCTTTTCAAGGCGCGAAGGCCATGTAAACTCACAGCCTGGCACAAAGCTTCAGATCGTGAGGCTACTTTAACCCTAAACCCGAAACACAAGACTACTCTCTGCTTAAGATTAAGAGGTGCGTGCCTTCTACTTACTGGGAGACACACACCAAGGAATTAAGTTGCATTTGTTTAGCGCGGTCCTCTGCGAACAGGTTAGTTTATTCTTACCGTTTTTGTGAGTACCTGGGCTGTTCGTGCGGGAGAGGCGATGGGGCAGGCGGAAAACTCGCGCTCTTCTTTCACTATTTTGTCGCTGATGTTTTGCGAATTTGTCGCACGATTCCCTGAACCGCAAACCCTAAACCCGAAACCCTCGACATTTTGTCGCCATCTCCTAGGGAAATAGCGAAACACATGAATTGCCCTTGTGCGGAAGAATGTTTGTGTTTGTTGTTGTTTTGATTGTTTTTTCTTTGGGGGGGGGGGGGGGGGGGGAGGGTTTCTTAAGCCAGGAGTAGAAGAGGGGATGGGCTTGGGGTTCTTCAGATGCAGCACAGCCATAGGGTTTAGGGTTTAGGGTTTTGGGTTTAGGGTTTAGGGTTTAGGGTTGAGGGTTTAGGGTTTAGGGTTTTAGAGCTTTAGGTTTAGGGTTTAGGGTTTAGGTTTAGGGTTTAGGGAAGGAGTGCGCAGGCGGGAATGAGCGCCTGAAAGGCCCATGTTTTTCAAACGGAGCGTCCGAATTCCTCGTGTGACTTGATTCGCCAGTCAAAACACTAGAGAATGATATGGGTGGCTGTCACAATTATGGTCCCTTTTTGGATCCCTATCCACCTAATATTACGGTACCCCAAAAGGAACCATAATTTCGACAACCACCCATATAGGGGTGGCCTCGAGAGCTCGGGAAACTGGGCTTTCTTGGCTGGAGGTGTGGCTCTGAGGGAAAGTTTTGGCCGTGGAACTTTAATTTTAGGCAAAGCTGAATCACCAATGCTAGGGTTACATGTATAACCACCCCCCCCCCCCCCACATTTTGTTTTGGTTTCGGGTGGTAAAAAAGCGAAGCGGGTCTGGGGGTCTGAGGGGTCTGGGGGTCTGGGGGTCTGGGATCTGGGGAGGGGGGGGGGGGGTTAGCAGTCAAGACAGGTCTGCTTCTCTAAAGACCCCAAGCCGAAGCTTCTGGAGCTGTTTCTGGGCAGCTCGGATGAAAAAAAACTTCCTCTGCAATGGAAGTATGAAGCAATCTGCAGCAATTTTAGACTTCTGGCCAGCCGAACTTTTATAAATGTCACCCCATTATTATTTTCACCCGAGTCCCCTTATATAGCTTTGTTTAGACACATCAGCCCAAAAACCGCCCGCAATGGAAAGTAGTCTTGGCCCTTTAAAGAATGTAACGTTTACAATTAGCTGCACAGCCTCTTAAACCCTAAACCCTAAACCCTAAACCCTAAACCCTAAACCTCATAAACAGTGCCTCCGAGGGGCCATGTCCGCCGCGACAGCCGCCGAAGCAGCGGCTGCTACAAGTGCCTGCCAGGAAAACCAGGGTTTAGGGTTTAGGGTTTAGGGTTTAGGGTTTAGGGTTCAGGGTTTAGGGTTTAGGGTTTAGGGTTTAGGGTTTAGGGGTTTAAGGGTTTGAGGGTTTGAGGGTTTAAGGGTTTAAGGGTTTAGGGCTTGCAGTTGTCCACACCCCAGTTTGCGCCAAACCTACCCAGACTTACCTAACTACGTGCGACTACATCCTGAGGAAAAAAATCACCCGATGTCACCCCAATAAAGGTAGATTCCCATTTGTTGAGGGTATCTACACAGATGACTCTTGGTCCCTTGGTTGATGCGGCAATGAATCATGGGCTTCCCTACTAGCCCCCCTCTATACCACCTCCCCCCTAAACCCAACAGGGAATAACTAAACCCTAAACCCTAAACCCTAAACTAAACCCTAAACCCTAAACCCTAAACCCTAAACCCTAAACCCTAAACCCTAAACCCTAAACCCTAAACCCTAAACCCTAAACCCTAAACCCTAAACCCTAAACCCTAAACCCTAAACCTGCGCCCGACTTTTCTTCCGCAAAGCATCCTTGACGCAACCGATTTGCCCACGACAGCCACGCCGGCTCGACAGCTTAGGGTTTAGGGTTTAGAGTTTAAGGGTTAAGGGTTTAGGGTTTAGGAAAGTTTAGGGTTTAGGGTGTAGGGTTTAGGGTTTAGGGTTTCCATCGGACTCCGCAAGGTCACAAGGACAGGGCATGTGCCGTCCAGCTCGACCCTAAACCAGGAAAAGAAACCCTTCTATACCCTATCTACCCTATATACCCTAGAAAACCCTGTATACCCTCTATACTCTATATACCATAGATACCCTACATATACCCTATACGCCACATAAACCTAAAAACCATATGAGCCCTAAAACCCCCCTTTGAAGCCTACAAAAGGTCTGCAACCCTGCAACTCCTGTAAACCCTATGATGAACCCTAAACCCTAAACCCTAAACCCTAAACCCTAAACCCTAAACCCTAAACCCTAAACCCTAAACCCTAAACCCCAAACCCCAAAAAACCCTAAACACCCTGCTGCTCAGGAAGCCCCGGCATCCTCCTGGAAAGCTTGCTGCAGAGCCTGACAGGAACAGCGCACCCCTAAACCCCAAACCCTAAACCCTAAACCCTAAACCCTAAACCCTAAACCCTAAACCCTAAACCCTAAACCCTAAACCCTGCAGCAAAACTCGCGGCTTAGGGTTTTCGGTGAGGGCTTAGGGTTTCGAGGGGACTGAGTGTGTAGGACCTCGAGATCCTGTAGCAACAGCTCAGGGTTTAGGGTTTGAGGTTACCCTAAACCCTAAACCCTAAACTCTAAACCCTAAACCCTAAACCCTAAACCCTAAACTTTGGGCCACAAGGTTTTGGCCCCACGTCTGCTCTACCAATCTTCTCTTGGATGTGTCGTTGTGCGCGAGCTGAGACGAGATACTCCGTTGACCACTGCATTCTGTCCTTTGGCTGCGTGCGCGCACTGCAGTCGTGCCCTGAACCCTAAACCCTAAACCCTGAACTCTAAACCCTAAACCCTGCACATCCTCTGCGACACGTCTGGCGGCTGTGGCTCCGTGACCCCCGAAGCCTACACCACTTGGAGGTTCATGGGTAGATATAAGGTTAGGGTTTAGGGTTTTCGGTTCTAGGGCTTACCTTGAAGTTCATGGCTGGGTAGCTATAAGTAAGGTTAGAAGTATGAATAGTATGGTAACTGTACTCAGAACCTTATTTAGGGGATTTCGAACCCTACATATATCTACCCGTGAACCTCCCAGCATGGAGCAATGGAGACTGAATGTAGCCCTAAACCCTAAATCCTAAACCCTAAACCCTAAACCCTAAACCCTAAACCCTAAACGTTAAACCCTTTTGCGATTTGGCAGATCGTGGGGCTTCCCTAGCACTGCGTGAATGGCACTGTAGAGAGGGTTGAGGGTTCATGGGTAGTTATAAGTAGCGTTAGAAGTGCCCTCAATAAGCGCAAATATGTATAGCTACCATACTCATAACCCTACTTCTAACTACCCGTGAACCTCCAAGTAGGGTTGAGGGTCTAGGGCAGCGGCCAGCTGCGCCCGGACACAGCACATGGGCCTATCTTCCAACCAGCAAGCTGGGTGTGG